AACAGAGTTGCCGCCGAGAAGGCACCCGGCACGACGGAACAAATCAGGGATGGCGATCCGTTTCGCTGGCCTCTGCCTCGGACACACTGCCAAAAACGTCTCTAGCCGCGAAGGGCTGGGGATCGACCGTCCCGGTGTCTCGTTTGCGCCTCCGCAACGGCAGATGGATCAACGACGGGCAGGAATTCGACCCAGGTCTTTTGGGCCAGGCGGCTCCGCGACGTGACGGTCCGGACCTCAACATCCATGCCTTGCTGGAGTCCCCGAGGCATCTCTTAGCGACTGCATCTTAAGGTTCACACTGCGGGAAACCCAGGATTCCCGAGGTGCGAGGCAGGGCGAGGCAGCACGGATGCCATCCGGTGTTCTCGACAGCGCATCCTGGGGATTTGGCCGCGGGTTTTTTCGGGCGTCATACGAGAGGAATTGTTCAGGCGAAAGATGGTGCAGGCAAGACCCTTTGAAGCTGCGTCGCACGCTGGTGGAGTCGTCACGGCGCACACAGGTATTCTCATGGGATCATGGCCAGTCGACACTGCGCGCTGGCGAATTGACACCCTCGGGATTCAGCCCTTCGGCATGTGCTTCCAGCTCAGTTGAGTTGGTCCGGTGTCCGGTGGGATGATACCATCGTCTGTTGTTTGCGTTCAGCCGGAGTGATCGAAGCGGGTGTTGAGAGGACGCCGATGACGACAATCTCTTTGGTGAGATGTAAGCTGAAGGAAGGGAGAAACCGAGTTTATTTACTGGAAGTAGAGAATGACCCAGATACAGTGCGAAGACTGTAATGTCGCACTTAACAGTTGTATTCAACTATGGAGGCACAGTGCAGCTATTGAGAATCTCACTTCGACACTGGGTGCAGGAACCGCGGCCTCTTCTGCCCTGTGGCCGCCGGCATACCCCCTCCTCGACTCAGTGACATGTCAGGCCTTCGATCAGTCACCGTTACAGAACACTGTCTGATGGAGCACAAGGTTCGGAGAATATTCTATTCATTTGCACATCGATCAACGAGTGTCTGAGGCCTGTCTTGGTTGCCGCCAACTCCCTCCCCCAATATCCCAGTCCAGTCAGCTCACAACTCTCTGGCTGCCCCGTCGCCAGAACAGTCTCCCCTTACGAAGGAGGCCCATATGCTGATGTCACACACGAAAGTCTTGGTTCCCAAAATATGCAACAGAAGAAACGGATATCTCTTAATGCCAGCCATGTACAGAGAAGTGAAGAGAGAAGAGAAGAATGGAAATATGTGAAGAAAACAGTTATGCCGCCGTCCCAAGAAACATTGAAAATGCTTTACTGGGGCGTCAAACCCCCGCTACTCCATCTCGAGGATGGATATGCAAATGCGATTGATTCCCTTACTTGCGCCTCTGGGCGCCAGCCGCGGTGAGCTTCTGCGTGATGAAGTCCGCCATCTCGTTGGCGCGGGCGCCGTAGGCCAGGTGGGGAGGCAGGATGTTGAGGGTGCCAACGCAGACGGCGTCGCCCGGGTTGCAGATGATCTTAGTCTTGGCCGGGTCGAAGTTGGCAATGACGCCGCCCTCCTGCTGCTTCTGCGTGTCGCCGAACATGAAGGCCGCCACGATCTGATCCTTCTGCGCCTGCGGCAGGTTCTCGACCGCGCGGTGCGTCACCGCCGCGCCCTGGCTGTAGCCGCCGACGACCAGCATCGAGTTCGGGCAGTCCGTCGCCGCCTTGTTGATGAGTCGCTTCATCTCCGAGATGCCCTTGGGGTCGCCGCCGCCGGGCAGGAAGTTGGTCGACAGCCCCGCGGCGTAGTCGACGCCCTCGACCGCCATGCTCGAGAACTGCGACTTGACCGCGTTGGCCGTCGGCGGGCCGCAGATGGTGCCCATGTTACCGACCTCGGTCGAGCCGCGGGCGAAGATCATGATCACGTCCTTGCAGCCGCCCTGCGTGAACTCCTTGGCGGTGCTGCCGACGCGGCCGCGCTGGCGGGCCTCGAGGTCGCGGGCCTCGAGTTCTTCGTTGTACGAAGGCTGTTGGAGGCCGGGGAAGGCAGCTGCGGCGGTCGCGAAAGCGAGAACGTTGCCGAACTTCATGGTGAAGGAAGTAAAAAGGAAGGTTTTGATTTGACAAGAGGAACTTTGTGGGCAGAAAAGAAAACGCTCGCAGAGCAGACTTGAGATACAGCGTCGCAAAGAGTGAATGACTGCCTCCTGGGCGTGGATGAATTGGAACGAGCTGACCGTTGACGGGTTTGTGGTAGAGTTGGACTAATGCAGGTGCTGATGAGATGAGTTTGAGTCAAAAGGGTCTTGCAGCCATCTTATACAAAGTTCTTCTGCACGTCAAACCACGCCGCCGAGCCTTTTGGTGTTGAGATGACGATATGGTGTGGTGTGAGTATTGTCAACCTTCGGGGAGACGTTTCCACACACAACCGTCGTCCAATTTCGTCCCAAAAGGCATCGACCCCGTTCCCCGTCCAGAATTCTGGCCAGTCGCATCTCTCGAAGCGCCACAGGCAACAAGAGACATCCCGCAAAGAGACGTCCCTTGGCATGTAAGACACATCTGGGGTTCGACAGAGATCTCCTGAGGCGCAGGCTGAAGGTGGACTGGTGGCAGGTTCCGAATCGCAAGTCTGTCCGTTTTGGGAAACATCTGTTCTCTTACGGGTGGGAAGCACGGTCGCAGATGCCTGGGATGCGGCGGCCAAGCCATCGGGATCGGGGAGCAGCGCAGAGACTCATGTCGTTCAGCCGTTCTCGCTCTACCCAGCCGGCTGGTTTCCCCTGACGTCTACAGCCGCAGCCGGCATGTAGCCTGATGCACATCGTTTATCAGAGATCCAGGGCCAGGCACGCGAGCAACAGGAGGATCTTGTCAATAAACCGAGGCATATTGGGATCATTTCTCTTCGGTAGCCTAAATCCGATAAGGTAGCCCCATCGAGTCTTGTCGATTTGGGGGCCGGGGCCGTCGTTTCGAAGTGATTGTTTGCAGAACGACCCATGATCTGCAAGGCTAAGACGAGGGCAACCGTCTCGAAGTCTATCGTTCTGGCCTCATGCACCCGATGGCCTCGTACCCAGCCAAGAGGCCCATCTCAGTTGGGCCATGAGGCAGTATGTGATTGAGATGTGACATCACTTATCATACTCTCACAGCTTTCATCATTGAATAGTCACCGGCCGGTGATGGTGTTTGCTTCTTCAGTTGAAGGGCTTCAGGCCGAGGTTCGGCAACAGAGGACGGCAGTCGTGCCACAAACAAAACACGTAGCGAATGACTCTTGTCTTCAGCTCATCTAGCTGTCAACCACGGCACCGAAACCGTGACTTTGCCGCTTGGCAAGCGAGAGTCGACATGGAGGGCTGGCACCAACCACGAGGCTTCCCTGGTGGACGAACGGCGCTTGTCGATAAAAGTGCAGCTTGCGAATCTGACAACGCCCGTGGTGGGTCGTCATAGTTGGGTTGAACACGATACGTTCTAGAAGTTCCAACCTGAAACTTGGGATGACCAGATCGAAACGGGAAAACGCTCACAAAGGAGACTCCTGAACAGGGATCGCACCAGACGTGAGGGCCACTCAGCGAGCAAGACAATCCGGTCGCCACGCCTCATCCTGACAACCAAGACAGTGAATTACCATCCTGGGTTTGACGTGAGGTGTGGTGGGCATGAAGGAGCGGACTTCGGAGGTTGAGGGAAGTTCAGCTTCACACCCTTTCAGGACAAGTAGGCGAAAGGCTCTTGCCGCGCTGACACTTGTCAGAGGACCGAGCGCGGGCCCAGCCTCATGGGCCGGAGCGCCGGAAGCGCAGAGTTCAGGTTCCCGCGAGCTGGGAAAAAGTAAGTTGACGAGAGACTGGCGTTTATTGCAGGTCCGCCGACCGGACGGTGGCTCACCACCAAAAGCAACAAGACGTCGATGAAAGAAAACGGCTCCGGTCGAGGGAAAATAAATGCGGGAAGACGGGCCCAGAGCCGCGGTCTGAGCAAACCGAAAAAGAAAGATTTGCGAGAGGATCGAGGCGGTACAGTCCCCCTGTGCTGATCCGACGAGCTAGTCAAGCGTTTGGGGGCAGACTTGGCCGCACTTGGCGATGGGAGCAGATTTTCTCCTTGAGGGCATCGACTTTGATGCAGGAATGAGTCGAGGACGGTGATGCAAGTTGATGAGCCGAGGTCGAGGGCAGTATTTGAGAAGTCGAGCCCCCTTGTCAAGCTGAGACACTAGAATGATGGAAGAGGGAGCCGTGCGCCGGGACGGAAGAACTGCTGGACACCCCGATTCCGGCGCACCGGATCCGACGTGCGGCCGATGCGGGGCAGCGGAGGAGACGAGAGTCCGGAGGTGGAGTTACATAAGCATCAGTCATCACGTGATGATATCTCTATCCTTCGGCGAATGATTTCCCCGTGAAGACCGTGCGGTGGTCCGGGCGTTCCCGTCCACTCAGGTGACGTCGTGAGGTCACAGCGGCTCCTGCAGGTCGTGGGACCCTGGAACTCGGCAAAACTCTGGCTTCCGGCGCAGCTGCAGCACACTCAGCAGTCACTCAGCAGGTGGTGCACTGGTGTACCAGTTTAGCAGTCCCCCACGAATTATGGGGTCTAGAATCGCTGAGGACCGCTGCAGGCAGCCTTCTCCGCCGTCACACGGTCAACCCGCTACATTGCTGATCCCATCCCGTGATACTCCAATCCGATATCTCAACAACCAACCTACTCACCCGCTGCCGACACTCTCCACCCCCTTCGCCGTCTGCAGCACCGTCCCTCCGACACCCTCATCACTTGTATCCATATCGAAGATCACTCACACATCTTCCCTGCATTTACCCTGGCCCTGGAGACTGCGCATCTGCATGTCAGCAACAGTCCCGCCTCCGCCCTTTGCTGAGCTCGAGCCTCGCCCCCCACAATCCGCCGCCGACTCCAACAACAACCTCAGCCTCGATCGCTCGCCCTAGCTCAAGCTCCAAATCCGAATTCTCACTCGATCCGAATATCTGTGGTGTATGTCTCCTACGGATCCCACAGATAACTCCTCCGGCCTGTCTGGCGCCACGCAAAATGACAAGACCGTTCCGGTGACGAGCGCCGAGCCCGCGGGGTCCAAGGCTGAAACAGACCTTGCCAATCTCCAGAACCACAACGACGATGGAAAAGCTACAATGTCTGCGAAAGCAGCGGGCAAGCAGCAGGCCACCGACGATTTGATCGACTTTGGCGACGATTCTTCAGCTCCCGCGCCAACAGCTCCTGTTATCACAGATGCCGAGAACAAGACGGAAGGATCTGCTCAGACCGCCTCCACACCAGCCCCTGGAGGAACCGCGGAGACCATGACTTCCTCCATCGCTACCTTGAAGCCTACGAGTCCTCTGCCAGCGGAGACTTCCACACAGTTCCTCACGATAGAAGCGACCTCGGCACCCTACGTCGACCCTACACCTCCTACTCCGCGAACTTCCCAACCGCCTTCCCGAACCCCTTCGAACGCAGGTCAGCGCCGGATATCCTCCGAATCCTCCCCAACAAGGTCCGACGCGGGCTACGACGAGCGTCGATACGCGAGCGAAGATGAGCAAGAGGGTTCGCGCTCAGAGATCCAGAGCATCATGGAGCAGTTCACTGGCGACGGCGGAGGTCCTGGAGAGGAGGAAGTCATGAGCCCAAGACTGGAGATTGCGTCGCCGATGCTGGGAACTACTCTGGGCAGCCCCGGAATCCAGCACCCTCCTCGCAAGTCTAGTCTCGAGCCTCTGGTGGCGCCGTCGCTTTCCCACCAGGTGCAGGAGCTGCAGGGCCTTAGGATACACACCGCTTCTCCCTCGAGCATTCTCTCCCGCGAAAGGCCAACCGACGATCAAGGGCCGCCGGTGCCCCCTAAGGATGGGCCGCCCGCAACCCCGGCGCGTTCGCACGACGACCGCCAAATGAGTGTCGATTCTCAAATGTCTCCAGGACTGCACCGACCGCCGCCGCCTGAGCCCGAGCCCGAGCCAGCACTACCATTCGATTTCCACCGGTTCTTAGAACAACTACGAAACAAAAAGGCAGACCCAGTCGCCAGATATCTCAAGTCGTTCTTGTCCGAGTTTGGAAAGCGACAGTGGATGGTGCACGAGCAGGTCAAGATCATTAGTGATTTCTTGGCATTCATCGCCAACAAGATGGCCCAGTGTGAGGTGTGGCGGGATGTTTCTGACGCCGAGTTTGACAATGCGCGCGAGGGTATGGAAAAGCTCGTCATGAACAGACTCTACACGCAGACCTTCTCTCCTGCGATTCCTCCGCCCCAACCTATCCCCGGCGCGAAGCCAAAGAGGAGAGGTGGCGAGCGACCCATGGGACCCGGACGGAGGGGGCAGCACCAGGAAGATATTGAGCGCGACGACGTTTTGACGCAAAAGATCCAGATCTACGCCTGGTTGAGAGAAGAGCATCTGGATATTCCTCCTGCTGGCGAGAGTGGTAGGCGGTTCCTCAAACTCGCCCAGCAAGGTTCGTGGCCTCGTTACTTCGAGACAACTTTGGTCGCTGCTAACCGCTCATAGAACTTCTCAAAATCAAGTCTTACAGGGCCCCTCGAGACAAGATTATCTGCGTCTTGAACTGCTGCAAGGTCATATTTGGTGAGTCTCACGCTGACAATTTACCGATTTCGATGTCTGACCAATCTAAGGCCTACTGAAGCATTCCAAATCGGATTCTTCTGCAGACTCCTTCATGCCTCTTTTGATTTATGTTGTCCTTCAAGCCAACCCCGAGCATTTGGTCTCCAACGTACAGTACATTCTGCGTTTCAGGAACCAGGAGAAGCTCGGCGGCGAGGCGGGCTACTACCTGTCATCATTGGTAAGTTATCAATGATTGTTCGACTCACACTTTGATTTCATGCTAACTCCACTCAGATGGGTGCCATCCAGTTCATTGAGAACATGGACCGCACAACGTTGACTATCACCGACGAAGAATTTGAGAAGAATGTCGAAGCAGCTGTTTCGGCCATCGCAGAGAAGCACCGCCTTGACTCTCCTCATCCCGTGCAAGAACCTGTATTCTCAGAAAAGTCTGGCTTTAGCTTTCCACCAAGCGAGGCTTCCACAACAAGGCCGTCGTTAGACATTGCCGTCGGCGAATCGTCAGTTCCACGTCGCTCGACCTCGTCGAACGAGGGCACCCCAGATACAGACCAGGCTCCGATAAGTGGTCTTCTCCGCTCAATACAGAAACCACTGAGCACAATCGGTCGCATGTTTTCCGACGAGCCCTCGCCTCCACCGGCGGGACCAAGCAACCCGCCCCGAGCTCCAGGTGGCCCCGAGCGCTTGTCTCCGAGACCTAGTATGGAAGTTGAGGGACAACGACCCAGCTCCCGGCACCAGCTGTCGGCAGAGGAGGCGGCCGCAAGACAGGCGAGTGCCGAGGCTGCAGAAGCTCAGCGCCTTCATCGGGCAGAGCACAACAACGTCGTCGAAACGCTTGCTGGCATGTTTCCCGACCTTGACAGGGACATTATTTCGGACGTGGTATACCAGAAGCAGGGCAGGGTTGGACTGGCTGTAGACGCCTGCTTGGCCCTCTCGACTTAGGCCATCTATAGCTGAATGAATCAAGGCGCCCAGAGCGCTGTACAAGAGCTACGAAGTCCGTTGCGAATTGTCTTCGTGAGTCTTGACGCCATATCGTGACATCGCGGTCATAGTGTTCGTTCTGCGGGGAAGATGCCTCGCGATGGTGCCCTCCGCCATGTCTAAGACGAAAGCTCACTGGCTGGAAGCTCTTCGATGATGTCAGGTTCGTCGGAGCTATGATCATCTCCAGGTACCAGCACTTCCGGCACGTATCCCGGTGAAACTTGACACCCCACGGTACTCCGGGTATCCTGCGCGAGAATGAACTCGCAGACCCACACTGGAACTGTGTGAGAGAGTTGTGCTTGTTCAATGAACATCCGGCCGGCCGGGTTTTGACTTCGTTCTGTCTCGACGAACTTTGACTCCATCAGGACCCTTCTCAAGCACTCCTTCAGACGGGTTACCCTCCAAACTCATGGAACCTCTCACGAACCCCGCTGATGAGGCGGTAATGCGCCGCCTCCTCGAGACCGTCTCGAAGCTGCGCAGCATGACACAAGAGCGGGACCAGAGCTACGACGAGTTTATCGCGGCGTACGACGCGCTGGAGGCACGACTCCCTGTGCGGCTGCCGGAGTTGTATCGTGTGTGCGACGTGTTGACGAGGTTGGTGCCGGAGCTGCAGTGGCAGATTGTGGCGGCGGGGATACCGGCGACCAGGGAGGATTTGGATGTTGCTGCGAGGAGAGCTTGGGATGTTGTTGACGAGATGGGGTTCTTGAAGGGGTGAGTGTGATGGGTTTCAGTTTGTGCTGGCTGTGGTTTCTGAAGGAATTATGGTCTTCGTCGCAGTGGAAGGAATGCTAAAGTCTGACATGTATGTGTGGGGCCATAAGATATCAACACGTAGCATACGTAGCTAAAGACTCGATATGATTGAAGGTTTTCGTATTTGTTTTGATGAGTTATACATCTAGACTTGCCAAAACTATCATATTGAGACGGAGGCTTGCCTACCAGGAAGCATGAAGTAGCAGGTCTGGATAGTTATTAAACCCTTCGGGCCCAGTCTTGTCTGCTCTGCGCACCTGACCTGCCGCGTACATGATCGATTTTACTCTGTGGGTATCAAGCCCTGTCCTTCGCCTTCTTATCTCCGTCAATATACCATCCCAGATGCGCTTTGAACGCTTTCAACTATTAAACCCGGAACAACGGATGGCGCGCTCTTGCGGTCTTGAGACTGCCCGAAGTCAACTGCACAGACCCAGCCAGTCCGGATTTGACACCACGCTCAACGCCCTCACTCCATTCCTGCGGTGATGAGGGTCTTCGTTTCTTTATCATCGATGTCTTCGTGTTTCGGATTTTGTTCTCCATGAGCGACTTTCTGAACATGTAGTTGTCCCATTCCCGGAGCTCCTGCGCTCTCATTCTCTGCCAAGCCGTGTCTATGCGAAAATCGGTCACCAGATCCTCTATGCGGAAGGCGAATTCCTCGTCGTCGGTGAATTCCTCGGTGTCGCTGCCGCTGTCGTCAACTGCGAATTTGACTCTTTTTGCTTTCAAGGATTCTGTTTTGTCCATGTTGGTGCGCTTTAGAGGTCTGTCCGGCAATTTTGTTTTTGGTTTGGAGTCCTGAGAAGAGGAGTCCCTTGGTGATGGTGATTGACTTTGTCGTCGAGGAGGCTCATGCTTGATGGCATCGGTGTCATATTCAAGCGCCTCGTTGAAGCGTACGGTTTTGGATAGTTCCGCGTGAAGCTCAATGTTTTTAGGCTTCTTCAGACAGCTCCTGAGGGGAGAGCACGTGCTGATCTGCTCGGGTTGAACGGGGCTGCTGGTGGGTGTGCTGAAGTGCCGTGCGCGCTGGATGGCCACGGGCTCATCTGGAAAGTGATCGAAGGCAGCCATATCTTCGGGGTGGGCGAATATGAAATTTTCCAGGGTGTGTGAGAGAGCAGATGGGCGAGGGTCAATGGTATCCTCGGTGAAGCGAACCTGCTTCTTGCATGGATTGTAGTCGGAAGACCAGCTGGTCTTGATGCAGCTTTTGGTTGAACGCATTCTGATTGCAGATGCAGAAATACCCATTAAAATAGGCTGGATATGTGTTGAATGATGTCGCAGTGGTAAGTAGTTGCGTCTGAGGAAGTTGATTGTTGTTAGATGTTTGAGACGATGATGGTGGATAGACGACAATCAGCATTGAGGATGACAATTCGGACGAAAATATTCTCCTGGAGGTGCGCCTGAAGCTTGGAATGCATGCGTTTGCGTCTCCAATCGGAGAAACTAACAGTCACCATTGTGGAAACCCACGACGGTGCGATGATACAATGGACAAATTTTGTGTGATGGAAGGCAGCAGAACCTTATTAGGCTACGGCACATTTGGAAATTCGTGTAGTTATTCCCTTGAGGGCTGGTGATATATGAGCTGCCTGGAGGGGTCATAAGGGTACGATCAACCACTAGATGGATGGAAACCCTTTGCCACAACCCTTACCCGAAGAGCAAGGGATATTCACGTAAGGCCGGGCAGTAAGCCTCTAAGAACCGAAGCAGATAATCAACCAGCATTCTGATTGAAATACCATAGTTTCAACAGATGGTCAAGTCAACAGATGCCGGCTGATAACACGTTGATCTGAGCCAAGGTACGCCCAGCCACGTGGGAACATAGAACCCTGAAAGCCAGGAAATGTGTATGGTCCACCTCCATGGCCTACGATATGACTCACCAAGAGAATGACCCATTTGCCCTCGACCATAAATCAGGACGTCTACACCGCATCAAGACTTGAACGGCATAGGATGCGCACAATAGTCCCTGAGCGCGTCTAAGTTCACAGAACGGCTGGCTGCCGGCTGCCACAGGAAACAAACTCGATTTACTGACCGCTGCATAGAACCATATCCTTCAAGTCCATCATCACCATTCATGAAACAATGCTAAACAGTAGGCGAGCAGCGAATATCAGCCTGTTCTACACCAGCTAGTATTATATGTCCACCGTCCAAAGGGAAGACTTTGGCTGCCGGTCTCGGTGCTTTGCTCAATTATATTCAAGGAAATTCTCAGCGATGGTCATCCCGTCCGGACTTCTTGTGTATGATTGGTGTCCTTCATCAGTGACCATGACATCGGCCACTGCGCGATCTTTACCAACATTTTGATGGCAAGCCAAGGGGTGCACACCTGCAGCTGAGGACAGATTCATCCACACAACAACCTCCAAATCCTACCCACCACCTCACATATAATGGTAGATGAATGTGCGGGGTGGCATGCACACACGGGAATGGAGCTAAATGCAGATAACATAGCGGCCCCTGCACATAGGCTGTTGCTGTTGTGTAATCAACGTTGGTCAAGAGCCGTAGTGGTCGGAAGCAGAGTCTTTGTTGTTTCTTCACTAATACTACCCTGTTCACCGATTGTTTGCTCCCAACACGCCCGCAGTGAGGTCGGAACAGGGTTGTCTTGGAGCAAACATAGCGTTACGGCCCTACGCCGCACGGCCAAGAGACAAGGATACGAGGTCGGCGCTACCAGATGACTCTGATTGTCAGAGACAGATCGTCGTGATGGTGCGATTCGGGAGATTTTAATCTCATCGCATTGGTTGGACGCCCGTATTCTCTCGGGTGGAGTTGGTTGCGATTCAGTCGTTGCAGACCTAGCAACGCAAACTAGCATGTCTGACATTCTGCTCATCGCTTCGGTTGCAATGTGGACTCGTTTGTGTCATGGAATGTGATCTGCTCTAAGAGCGACCGTCTGCTACACTATGTCTTGGTCCCTGCGGGTCTTTAGAAGATCATCACGGTCAAGCTTGCGAAAGACATCTGATGAACAGGAAATGCATAACTTTTTTCTAACCAGGGGCGCCTATCTACCTCTTCTCAACGTCGACTTCTGTTGTAGTCGTAGCCGCCTCCTCGTCCCTCTTCGACTCAGGTGAATCGGCCTTGCCAACAATCTCTGAACTCCTGAAGAAAACACAAACAATGACAAGGGAGGTGATGCCCAGGGCAAAGTTCATCCAAGAAGCTGCCCTGAGACCATCCAATGAAGGTTGGTCCCATTCCATAACAGGCCCCACATCCTCCACCGATGTGCCCCTGGAGTTTGCCATGGCGGCTGTCTGAACGGCAGTCGAAAGAGCCAGACCAATGGATCGACCGACCTGGCCGACAGAGTTGACAAGCGCTCCACCCAGGGCCTGGTCTTCTTGAGGAAGTGACTTGGAGACGAACAGAATGAGAGATGGCCAGGCTGTATCTGAACCAATGACTGCCAGAATCATGGCCGGCAGACCGTAGGCGAAGTACGACGTCGTAGATGGGATGGGTATCGCAAACAGCAGGCAAGCAATGGAGACGGAGGCGCTGCCACAGACCAGTAGCAAGTATGTGGGCACTCGAGAGATGAGAAGCGCTGCGGCCCATGCAACGAGAATTCCAGCCACACCAGTGGGAAGAAAGTAAAGAGTCGTGGTGATGATCGATTGACCCTGGTATTGCTGGTAGAAGTATGTCGCGTAGGTGAGGAAGTTGTTGAATGATGAGAAGAACAGAGCCATAATGGCCATGGCTGCGCAGAATCTGACGCTTTGGAAGATTGAGGTCTTCATCAGAGGAGGGCGGTTGGTCTTGAACTCCAAGTGGCGTTGCCAGAACCAGAAAGAAGCGATGATGATGAGGGAGATGACGAGGAGGACTGAGATCCAGGGCGTGCGCCAGCCGACGACGTTACCCTCCGTCAATGCCAACATGAGCGCGAGAAGACCCACGGTGATGAGACCACCTCCGATCCAGTCGACGGACTTCTTCGTGCTCACGCCCTTCTTGTGTAGTGTGACAGCCTCGGCAGGAAAGACGAAAACACCAGCAATGGCAACGAGACCAGCCAGAAGCGCCAGGACACCAAACACCCATTTCCAGTTGGCGTATTCGGCGATGATGCCAGAGAGAATGTTGCCGAAGATGCTTCCGAGGGGGGCGCCAGCGCCGTAGGCTGCGAAGGCATACGTCTTGGCTTTGCCTGGCGGGAATGTGGTCCCCAAGATGCCGATTGCTGTGGGAACATTTGCGGCGGCACCGAGACCTGACAGGCCGCGAACGAAGTCAAAGGCGATCTCGTTGGGAATGAAGGCACACGCAACAGTCGTAGCGGCAAGCCAAGCAGTGCCGAGGACGAAGATGAGACGTTTGCCATAGATATCTGCAATGCGACCCCAGAGGAGAAGGAAGCAGCCAAAGGTGAGAGAGTAGGCGGAGACGATCCATTGAACGCGAGATTCGGGGATGTTGAGGTCTCGGCCTATGGTTGGAAGGATGATGACCACGGCCTGGATAGAGAGGGTCTGGTGAAACATGTTAGAAGATTTGTTCCCTGATCGGCGGGATGAAGGCTCGCCTCACGTTCAAGAAGCATGCGCCGGTTGCGGTGGTCGTGAGGGCGATGGCCTGGAACTTGGACAGAGGAGCCTGCTTGGGTTCGCTGATAGTGCTGCTGGTGTCGTTGTCTGACTGTGTGCCGTCTGACGATGCAGGCGCATTAGATGTTGGTTCATACTTCTCTTCCGAGAACATGCCCTCGCTGGCATGGTGAGTCGTGATAATCTCGATATCCTTCTCCTCAACAGGAGGGAGGGAGGATGACGAGTTGTTATTCTGGAAGCCGCTCATGATGGGAAGTCACCTGACATAAGAAGGAAAGATGTGACTTGGCCGGCGTTGTCCAATGTGGGAGTGAGGTGAAATTTTGCTCTGGCTACTGATCTGGTGAATGTGCCACAGGATCCAGGTGAGCGGCCCCGGGCTTTTGTATTCTTCGAAGTGGACGAATACCCTGGCCATGTTTGCTCCCCTTCCTACTCGAAGTAGAAGTCACCCGAGCACAACATCCAACCCTAGTCTCCCATAGTAATGGAGATCGCAAAATGGATCATGTAGGTCAGCTTGGCCCTGTTGGTCGGATGCCTTTGGGAGTTACGTCGGCTAGGCCCATCCCGGTCTAGGACGCCAGGGCCGTGTGGGATGGGGTTCAAGAATTACACAAGACATGCGGAAGTGTAGCCGGTGGCAGTAGCCCTGTAGTTTGCTCGCCTTGGCTTCAGTGGGTGAAGAAGCACGGCGTGTTTGCCCTTGGTCTGTGGCTTCGCTGAGTCGAAGCCATGTCTCCCGGGAGGGGGTATCCGGTATATGTCCCGCCGCCGCGGGCGGGCGGACCAGACCACCCCTGGTAGCCCCATGCACAATGATCGTCCGATGGAATTGGATCTTATTTGTCTCCTCGGAAAGATGAAGCTGAGAAATGCCCGGTTGGAGGTCTACCTCCGTTGATTTTGGGGATCGCCGTAAGTCAGGACGTTACGTCAAATATGACTGCTGACGCAGACGATGTGGCGCTTTTCGATTGGTACTACAGTAATAAGGTATACCGGAGCAATTAGCAAAGCCCCCAACTCTGATCTAACAACTGTGGTCGCATCAACTGCTGACGAAATCAGTCTCGAGTGAACAATGTGCGCGTTTGGGTCCCTTTGTGATTTGCAAAATTTTCTCGAAAGAAAAAAGAATAATAATAAAGACGCCGCATTGTCTGAGATCCTCCCACCTGGTAGACGTCGGTAGATCAAATGTAGGGGGTCGATCCGAGTAAACAAAATCTTTTGGGAATCAGCCCGCCCAGTCGCACGCTAACCTGAGACATTGGGTTCCCGGTTCAAGAGGTGACTCGAAGAAAGTGAGAACTCGTGTTATTGAAGAAGGGAGGGAGAGAGCCGGAGGGGGGAAATCTAATGCAGCGAGGCGTCATTGGGCGCTCTGCCGAGTGTTTCCCCTCCCTTGTTGAGAAAAGAACGGTGTCGATACGTAGCGGGTTGCGGGTTTACAGAATGGTTACATTCCCAGATAACCGGCCGGCCGACAGGAGACAGGCCCCCCGGCGCAGGAGAGTTTCTCCCATCACTGCAGAAAAAAGCAATTATAAGGAGATCCGAGGGCCCCAACAAGCAACTATAACTGCGAGGTCAGACACCATGATGCAAGGTCTCGCGTACGATGAGGCGGTCGCGACGAACCTATTGGAAGAGCTGAGCGCTTACTCGATTCAATTTGATTTCGTCAAGGGCCCCCTTCCTCTAGCTTTGCTTTTCTCCAGATCTACACCCCTTGTCTTGTGAAAAAGCCCAAGATCCGGTTGGGTCCCCCCGGCGCGTGGATAGGTGCATTAGGTTGGGCCGGTCAGGGTCGATCGATGCATGTGAGCTTCCATCAGAACAGTGATGTGTAACCGCCTGTCGTGCTGGGTGTAAAGACATCATCCGATTGTCACATTCGAAAAGAAACAACAAAGCTGACCATCTTACCTCACTGGCCTAAACTTGTGCAGATGACCGGTCAGCTTGCAGCATCTAGAGTTCGCTATGGTCGCGCTGCTGTGACGCGGCAGTTGTTTTTGTCAATTCTTTTGTGAGGGCATTCCGGTCGTGATGCCCTCAATTCCTTGGCCAGGCGACGTGATTCAGCGAGCTTTCTTTTTTGGGGGCCCATGCCCCGCATGTTCTTGTGGAACCCCGACAATCTTGCCATCCCTGAACCACAGACGAGGAATTTTCGCTTCGGGCTGCTCGAGAAGGTTCCCATTCCGTGGCGCTGGTTCCCCGGGTGAGACAGGGTGACCAATTCTCCTGTGATGGTTGACGTGAGGAAACTTCCCGGCGCAAGGGAGGATGCAAAAGAGCCCAACCAGGGCTGATCTTGCGATACGAGGAACAAAACAAAACTAGAAAATGCAATAGTCTGTCGTGGAAGCGGATCACCGAGGCTGATTTGGAAGTTGATACACCTGAAGGGAGTGAACATTTAAGTGGGCATCTTACTCAGCCGCCGCAAATCTGCCTTCTGGCCTCTGCTGTGCCATCATGAGACCTCTCGGCACGGAGGATCGATGTTGACACAAGACTTGGGGTACATACGGCCTCGATCTCGCTCCGACTCTGGTGCACGAGATGGTTCAGGACGGGCTTCTAAATCGCAAGATGAGATTGTCTCGGCGGGCCAGAGAGAATTCGGCCGAGAGTGGACAGAATAAACGACGTTCCATGTCGTCGAGGGACGGTTGGAAAAGCCGATTGGGAATTTGAACTTGGCGACGCCCTCAAACGCGTGGCAAAGAGTCAAGTCTTCGGGCGGCTGCAGCCGTTTTCCCGACGTAAGCAGCCACCCGACTGCAGGCTAAACAGGCTGGAAGAAATGTGCAACGGACATGAGGTGATTGGGTGGCTCTTCGCTCTGCGTTATGTCTCGAATCCTCGCAACGAGATTTGTCCCACCTGACACCGAGATTGTAACGTGGTGACAAAACCGCTGGGCGCAGACGCGAGACACAAGGCACCTGACACAACGTTGGACTCGAACACGGCGTTCAGGCAGAATCTGCCACATTGACCTTGCGGGTTCCATTTGTTCCATATGCTTCAGAAGAACATGGTTTGAGGCTCAGATGTGGACGTAGTAGAATCGTGGTCAGCATGAGGCTCTGCAGTCTCTGACGGGAATTTCGTCTGGTGTGTCGGCGGTGATAGCTCTGACGAAGTCGACTTCGTCAAATAGGTAGCGTGCCACCATATTCTAGGCATAATGCTTGCTTTCTGACTCATCTCCTGCTTGAGAACACAATAGTAGGGGCTGATATTGATGAACTGATCGTCACTTCCATCGAAATTTGGATGTTTTCTGTGTTTTCATTGCGTTGCTGGTATCAAAACTTTGTTGAAATAAGCCAAAGCTGTTTGTTTGGATTCAAAACCAATCACCCTTGAAAGAACAAAACCAGAAGTGTTGTAGACACAATGGGTGGCTGAATTTTCTATTCTCTTGGCTTCCTGTCAGGCAGCTTTATTGGGAGTCTATTGAATGCAATATCGCGCGACGCGGTAATAATGAAGCCTTACACAGCAAGAGTATAATTATGCCCACATCAATCCTTTCGTAGCATATCGCTTATATTCTTACCTGTAAGCACGGTCGCTTGTTGAGAATCGTGTTTGGGCTTGGCAAAGCCCAAAAGGCTGCAATGCGTATGACCCAGATCTTCTTGACGACATGAAGTTAGAAGTTGCCTGGAATTTCGGAATAAAATATTGATCCCACGAAAAGCCTGCTCAAAGCTTTTGTTCCTTGCTCGAACAGCCCAGATGTTTCTCCTGGCCTTTCACGCCGACTCCTCGCTGACTGAGGGCTAACAAAGGCCGTGCTTAAGAAAATCGAATCAAACATCCCAATTTCAGGAAACAATTTGGAGGCTCTGACTATGATTCTGCCTAGGTATGATTCACTGAAACTTCTCCTTGACCAGACCGATTGCTTCGCCCATGTCGTTGATTTCAATGCCTGACTTGAAAACCCAATCCGTTTCATTTCATAAACTGTCAACCTCGTCACATCACCGCCTGCATGTGTATAGAAACCGCTCCAACTCTCTAGCCAGTTTCAAGTTTCTTGTGAAAAACCACACCTCCTTCACTACCCTTAACCAACACCCGACTCCAAGTTTTGGGACGTTCAAATCCTGTCACCAAGCGACTCTCGAACTCCTATTTTGTCTGGATGCAAGTCGATCTTCGGGAATCACCGCGGTAGCATCATCGAAAGTCTGCTACCTTCCTGAGTTATGAAACGCTCATCGACACCATTTCCTGAGCCATCTAGCAGGTTCGTGCCATCACGCCGAGGGCCTGTGCCGCGACTTCGATAATCAATATGTTTCCACTCAACAGAGCTCTCTAACCTTCATGAGATTCCCTCTCCGCTGCTACATTTGGCTGAAGGTTTCAATGCGATTCTACTCAATAGAGCCTGCTGGTTCACACAACTCACCACAAGTCCTCCAGAGAGCATCGTACTTGAGAACAGACAAATCGCGGCATCGCCCAGGTGATTCTGCTACGAATATCGATGTCATAGGGTAGTCATATAGGCTTCAGAACCCCTCTCTCATGGAATCACTATTGTAAAGGTATTGGAGTGAAAGTAGCGAGCCCTTTGAGGTTCTCTTTTCCAGGCCCTGTTATTCGCAAGAATACGCTGCAGCAAGTTGACTTTCTGCTTCTTGCGTCGTGTCTACCTACAAACGCGGAATCTTTGCGATGATACTAAGTACCTCGATTCTCTTTACGGTATACTATGTATTCGTTTCCCCTTAGCCATCTATGAGTAAAAGCGTACTTAGCCTAACTTCACTTAGGCAACGCATCCTTCGATTTCGTGGCCTGGCCGACACACGCGAAGGTTGGATAGTATTTTCGCGTAGGTACGTATGTAGTCACCATGCGTAGGACAATTCCTTGCGGCGAGTGGTCCGTTATGGTAGCAGTTCATGAGCAGCAATATCGCCTAAACCCAAGCATTTCAACTGCTACCTTCCAGGTTCAGCGAACCTCATCAATTAGGTCTAACCTTCTATCATGAGAGCCTGCCTTCCTAGTACGTACTTTCAGTATCTTTCCTCCTACCTTACCTCACTTATCCCCTCACTTCACTTCAGCCTACCCACTTTATTTCACTTCAGCCTGGCTACTTCAGTTCACTTCACTCCAGCCTACCTACCTTACCTCAACAACCTCAACCTCACTGCGATTCTGCGCTCCATTTCTCCACTGGTGCCTGCTTTGCGTCTTCACCCCTCGAAGTGCCCTGGGCCCCCTCACAACCTCCTCGCCAACCTTTCACAGGAGACGAAACAAAGACAGATAAGGACCTCCTTCAGGCTATCATCTCATTGTACTGCTGCCTGTCGTCTCCTTGTCGCACTTCACCTCACCCTTTTCGGTTCTTCATTGCGTCCGAGGTGCTTCTAGGCGCGTCTCGTTGCTATTTTGGCACCCAAGACTGTTCTCGACGACGCGTCGGAACCTTCACCTCACCTCCACCGGGTCCAGGTCACGTCCATCTCAAATCGCGACTGCCTTCTCCCACCTCCCAGACCTTCCAGGCCGCCTACACACCACGGCTCTTCTCCCCCGACAGCTGGGGATAAAAGATCGTCCCATCTCTCCTCCCAGTCACAACTTCCATCTTCCTCATCCACCCTCACCTCCACCCACTTTCACCTTCCATCTTCTTTCACAATCTCACTCAATCCAAAAGCTTTCAACCTCAACACAACCCTTCCGTCCAACACAACAAAGGGTAACAGACATCATCACAGAAAGCTATTTTTCGTTCACTTCTGCACGCGATCGTTCTTGTCCCAGTTCAACGCAGCGGATTATCGCTACTACCTCCGTGTCCAACATTTCACATCAAGTGATTCTCTACTGACTGAGTCTGTAAGGGGTGTGAAACTGACTCATTGAATCGCGCAGCCACTTCGCAGCCCTACCTCGAGACCACCCGTCGACGATTTCAAGATGGCGCCTAACAACACCCGAGACAACTTCAATAGCCAGCGCATCATCAACCAAGACGATAGCCCCAGTGCCCTGGCAGAGCGTCCTCCCACTGCCAACCGGCTTGAGCGAACCAATGGCCTTTTCCGCCCTCACACCCCGTCGACCCTCGCAGCCCTCAACCAGGACGACTCTCCAACTCCCGCCATACATCATGGCTCCCGTGTACAGTCTCTCCGCAACCAGTCGGATTTTCCCGCGCCATGGCCAGTACCCACACCTCCCTCCATCGGCGACAACTCTTCTCCTTGGGTCCGTTTGGATCCGGTCCCTCCCTTGACCTACCACTGCAGCTCTAGGTCTACCACATCTGCCCCCAATTCGACTTCGCTCTTCGGAATCTCTGGGACATCCACATCCAGATTCATCGAGAATGGGGTAATCCTCACTCCCTCATCATCCGGCAACTTGACTCCGACCTCGGGCCCTCAATACCCAACTCGTCTCCCCCGTCCAGCAGGGTCGACTTCGAATCCCATCAATGCGTCTTCCGACCGCGACGCTATCAGGGTGGTCAACCCCAGCATTGGTTCAGGCCAGTTGCCCGCCAACCTGACTCCAGCCTCGGGCCCTCAATACCCAACCCGTCCCCCAAGGTCGACTTCGAATGCCAACCATGCGTCTTCCGATCGCGACGCTATCATGGCGGTTGACCCAAGCCTTGGCTTGAGTCGATTGTCCATCGGCTCGGGTCCTACCTCGGGCCCTAGATCTCAGACTGGTGCTGCGAAGTCGGCTGCGGAAGTCACCTTTGATTCTTCCGATTCAGATTTAGACTACGACTCCGAGTCGGACTCTGGTCGCGAGCCCGTTATAATGGGCAATTCGAGCTCCGTCCGTGCCAACGCTTCGGCTCCCACCGCCGTCGTGAATAATCCGCTTCGGTACCTCGTGAGTCCCCTCGTATCAGAACGTTCTGAAATGTTGATGCTAACTTGGCCGCGCAAGAATGCGATTCCGCCCATCAGAGACCCTTTGTCGGCGCTTCCTTCGGGGCCTAGGGGAGTTCCCTGGCACAACTTTAGTAGGCTCCCGCATCCATTGGGCCTTGTCACCGTCAGACACCGCAGACGTCCATCTTTCCACTCCTCAGACGAGGAAGCAATGCCCATGCCCAGCCGTCGCATCGCAGGCTCATGGGAGACTCGCCTGGTACGTTCACAAGCTAGATATCAGGCGGCCACGGGCAACTCGCAGTGCTCTGGATACGCGCATCGTCCCCGCCAGTATGGCCCTCCCAACAACGCCAACTCTTTCCAGCCAACCGAAGGTCGACAGCCACAGGGTTTCCGTCCTACTTGGGCTGCCATGCGTGCCAAGCAGGGCCAGGCCAAGGACAACGACAAGGATAGGGCCGCGCTCAAGGCCATGTACGGCATCTCGCCCAACTACGCCGGTGACCCGACCATCGAACGCAATCGCTCCGCCGACATCCCCGATAGCGAGAACTGCGCCCTTTGGATCACCTTCCTTCCGCCCGACGTCACCCACCGCGAGATCCTCGCCGAGATCCGCAACATGGGCCGCATTTGGAGCGTGGTGATTAGCGGCCCCGAGCCCGCGAAGAACCACCACACCGCGGCTGCCAAGGTGGTCTTCTTCGAGCTCGGCGCCGCGCAGAAGTTCTACGCCATGAGCTGCAACCCCGCGCGCCGCTTCAAGGTCCGTGGCCACGTCACCAAGGTCGAGCTCAATCGCATCAAGACCGCGCAGGACAACCGCCGCAACAACTCTCGCGTCCTCCGCATCAAGGGCCGCCCCGACGTGGTCAACAAGGACGCTCTCACTGCGTACTTCAAGCAGAAGATCACGTTCGAGGTTGACGAGGTCATCACCATCGTCATGAACGAGGACATGGGCGATGTGGAGTACCGCTTTGGCAGCTTCGGTAACCAGGCGGAGTTGGCGTACTTGGCTCTGCAGCGCGAGTACGATGTCGGCGGGATTCACTCCCCCTACTGGGAGGTTCAGTACGGCCACGACCCTTGCGCCCCGCAGTCAGGTGCGTACAACTGAGAGCCATTTGTGCGCGACGGCGGACAGATGTTTTGGTGGTAGATGGAGTTTGGTAGGATATGAGATTGCTTTTTGAACTTGATTGTTGGCGTTTGCATTGATACCCAGTTTACGGCTTTGTACTGCTGCTTTGAGTTGCTTTCACTTCAGAAAACAAGTAACTGGTTTGATGGACATCGTGCTCACGGCACCCGGTTTGGCCCACTTGGTCCAGATAGCTTGGAGAGATCTCAGGTGGGCTTTGATAGATACTTCGGACCATGAATTTCCGAAAGCCAATACATCGAGTTCACAATTTCCAACAGATTGAGGTTATGATACCTGGCATCAAACATCGTAAAGTGAAGGTAAAGGGAGAAATTGAAGTCCAGCAAGGGGGCGGTTGTTTATGGGAGGCAGGCGGTCAGACCAGCCTCTGCGCCGCATTCGTGATTCTGCCGCTTATATAATCGTGATGTTCTCAGCGATGGTCCGTGCAGCCCCCAAGACCGCCCATTGGCGGGGTTCGGCCTGACACATTCAGCGATCGCTCCTCCTTCCTTGGCGGCCTGTGGCGATTAGCGAGCTGCAACCTTGAGTGTTCGACTTCACCGCGGCTTTTTTATCTTGAGAAGGCTTTGATTTCATCCATATCACTCAAAGAACATGGACACTACTTCAGAGGCAACTGGAGATGAGAGTCTTCCTTCTCAGATGGAGACTCTTGCCGTCTCGGATAATCTGAAGACTTCTCAGCCATCCGACGAAGGGACTGAAGCTAATGAGACGGCAATCGACACGGCCTCCATCGCCACCACTACCGACGCCTCACAAGAAAACCAGACCTTTTTGCGGGGTGAGGCAACAGAGGCCGTCACAGATAGCGATCGCGTCGCCGCCTCTGGGAATCTCAAGATACGCTCAAAACGCACCGAGCGACGTCAGCGTAAGATGCTGAAGAAGACCGCCAAGAAGTCGTCACAGCCAACCCACCTTTTCGACCTTCCGAACGAGGTCCTCAACAACATCATGGTCTTTCTTCTACCCAGCGATCTTTTCAGAGTCTCCCGCACATGTCGCCATCTTTACGAGTACGTGAAGCACGACGAGACCATCCTCGCTCGCGAAATCATTGCCGCCAGATACCCTATCCTGGAGAAGTGCTTTCGTCTTCCGATTCCTCTCAGTGAGGTAGACCCCGAGACCCACAGCCGTCTTCAGCATCCAGACAGAGTGGCCGCGCTTAATATTCATCGCCGTTATCAGCATATTCCTCCCGCTGATCCTTATCGCACCTGTACTTGCCTCACCTGCGTCATCAGATGGAACGCGCTCTGCAATGCTGTCGATTTCTCCAACTGGCAGCAAAATCTGGAAAAGGGCGAGCCAATTCCCATGATGGATCGAGGCAAGCCCTTGCCCGAGTGGAATCGTCTTCTCGTCGATCAGACCATGAACCTCGTCTCCAGGGCAGTTACTTCTCCCCTGCTACATGCCTGTATCCTGGAGAGCCACCTCAAGAACACCGTTGTAGCCATCAAGCGTCACAGTCAAAATAAGGGCAATAAGAGACGTCACTTTCAGATGACGCAGGCCGACATCGAGTCTCAGTCCGATCTGTTCCTCGATAGACAGGGGCCCGTCACTACTGAGCTACCTTTTCACCGCGACAACTACTACATGCTCGAGGCTATGATGCCTAGCCGCACGTGGCTCACTGAGAAGAAGCGGTGGGGATACATGCCGGCGGAGGCGCATCACAATGACCTGGCGTGGGTCGCGACAAGGTGGCAGATGCCACGGCCGTCTTAGATAAAAGATTAAACCCCCTGCGTACAATATAAGGCACCAGGCACCTTAGCCCCTTGTTTATTAATTCCGACCAAGCCCCGTCATCACTCTTGCCCCTGCCTCCGTCCTTGGGGTGCCTGTCGTCATTCTCGTCGTTCGCGTCGGCGTCGTCGTCGTCCTTATCGTCATCTTCGCTATCCGCTTAGGTAGCCAAGCCCTACACCAAGCGAAGCCGCGAGAGATTCCGAGATTCGGCAAACCGTATAACGTAGGGTTTGGTTCATTCTTGGAACAAATCATATTCAAATCTGAGAGCTATGGAATCCGCTTCAGATATCAGACATACCCCATCTGACGTTTTGCTCATGACGAGCCAGCTTCAGGTCGCTTCTTGAACACGCAATTCAAACTGCCCGGCTTCACAATCAATTGGAACTTTGACTCTCTGTGAAGTCTCTCTGCATCCTCACCCGGCGCGACTTCAAAATCATAATTCCAGAGCGTGTAGGCCACGGTCATTCGGATGACGTTCATCGCGAGCCGTTTACCCACACAATCAAAGCGGCCTGGTGTGAAGAGTGAGCTTCATTTTGAAAGTAACAATCATGTGTGACTTACCGTAGTGGAAGGGAACGAACGCTCGTCGGTCGATGATCAAATCCGGGCGAGTGGTCCAGCGCTCGGGGATGAACTCGTGTGGCTGTTTCCAGTACTTGGAACCTATTCGTAGTGTGTCAGCTTCTCTCATCTTGCGAATGTAGAGACACGGGGTAACTTACTTCGTTGGTACACATGCAACGGGGTAAAGACTGTCACGCCACCGGTGATGTACGTTCCGTCTGCCAAGGTAACACCTTCAGGAGGCACGACTCGAGGCCCGTTGGTCGCGGCCGGGGGGTGCATGCGCAGTGTCTCGTTGATGAAGGCATCGAGGTACTCAATCTTTGCTAGATCGGCGACAGCAAACTCTCCAGGCACGGTTTTGCTGTGCGCTGGGGCGGTTTCGTCGTAGAGACGCTGGCGGAGCTTCGGGTCTTTGGCGAGGAAGTAGAAGGAATATCCCAATGCGCAAGAGATTGTATCTCTAGAAAGCTGTCAGTAGAACCTTCTTTACAAGTTGTTTGGGTAGACTTTTGCGTACGTTGCCCCGATGAGGATGGCCAATGAGTCGGAGTACAGGACATTGATGTTGCGAAAAGACTTTCGCTTCTCTGACTTGTAGTCGTCAAGAAAGTACTTCATCATGTCGTGGGACTGTTCGGAGTCGGTCTGGAAACAACGCAAAGTCAGCTTTCGCCCACAGTTACTGCCCTTGGATTTGGTCTCACGGCCATTCTCTCATCCACCAACCGCGCCCCAAGACCTTCAAACTCCTTCACCATTCCAAAACGGGGAATGCTTGAGAGCAGCATCAGCGGCCACGAAATCCCACCCATCCGGGCAGCCAATTTGAAGGATGTCTCGATGAGCTCGAGCATTCGGTCGTCGCGGCCATCTTGCACCGTGCCAAAATTGTGACTGAAGCCGACGCGGCCCATGTTGTCGAAAGGGATCAGCTTGGCGTAGAGGGCGGTGTCAATGGGTTTGCCTTCGACCTCTTCGATGCGGCCTAGCCAAGCGCGCAGAACTGCTCTTGTCTCTTCCTCGTACCGTTCCAGAGCTACAGATTACCGCGGCATCAGGGAAAGCTCCTCTATCATGCTTCAAGCAGAGATTGTGAAAGTACACACCTTTTGTCCCTAGTGCTGTGTCCCAGACCCTTCGTCGATCCCGATGCGCCTCGTTTTCCCAAATGGCGTCGAGGTTCAGCTCGTGTTTTGAAGCAAGAGCGCCGTAAAACCCAGTCCATCTCTTGGTTACCTTTGACTGCGGGCCGTGGAATTTGATGTAGGTGTCTATATCCGACACCGATATTTCATTTGGACCTGAATTCAGAGTTAGGCTCTGTCTGTTCTTCCAGCAAGGGGGAATAAGAAGACTTGAAGTCTTACCGAGCCGAACGACATCTCCGAGGTTCTCATGAAGCTTCAGGATTCGATCGTGTAATTTCCAATCTCGGTTGGCCCACATCGAGTAGAACTTGGTGATCCTAGCGGGGAACGGGCCCGGGAACTTGCGAAGGGGATGGAAGAAGACGCGATAGACCCCGATGCTTGTGTAGAGGGCGGCGAAGTACGATCCTGATATGGCCGCGTAGACTATCAGTCCGTTGTAGAAGCCGTAAGATAGAACCGTTCTCGCAAGTAGCATAGATAGCGCAACAGCATGGAATGCCACGATGCTTGGGGCGTCCATGCTCTTGGGACCGTGGATGAAGTAAAGCCAGTGTAACAGAAGACCGGTGATTGCGGCCACGCCGCAGGAGAAATTTGCGGCGCCGCCGAACTTGGCGACCTGCGCGAGCACAATATCTTGCATCTTGACGAGAAGCTATTGATGAATGATCACATTCAACTTCATAGAATACATCAAGGTGGAAAAGATATAATAACCATGCATCCTTCTCAATGTTGAGGACCATGCCCATAAATGTAGTCTAGCACCCCGCCGGCGCCGCGGCGCGGAAGCAATTTGCTACATCAGAGTTTCCTACCACATGCTTCCTCTTCCATTTGATATCAGGCCGACGGTCCGCTTGTGGTCACTTTTGATGTCAGCTTGGCCCAAGTGTTACATCCGTAGGCTGGGGTACCTGCCCAACCGGCGGGATGCTCAGAGTTTCACCTTACCCCAGCGGTTCCCCGCGTCGGGAGTATTTCCTAGTGGACGTGATAAGTAATCTGTTTCGGAGACATATTGCCGAAAATAGTAGAATTTGCAAGCTTGGCTTAAGCGAGTGCGAGTGCCGGCCACGAGTGCTTCAAATTCCGGGAATTGTGGCCAAGATGCGCCTCTGCGGCAGCCGGACACTTTTGAATGGCGAATTCCGCTGCATCATTGAGAGGTGAGAAACCATCACGATCCAAACTCACGTGCAAAGAAGCGTTGTGTTGAGGAAACAAAAAATCAACTGGTATCATTGAAGTGCTATCTAAATCTCATCCTTCCCATGTAACGTTGCGCCATGTAAACATAATCCCATCCCGTCATATGTAAGCCTCTACTGGCTTACCATCTGCCTGGGCCGCCGAAACCACCACCGGGACCGCCAAAGCCGCCGCCGTGATGACCATGGTGTCCGTGATGGTGTCTTCCTCCGAAGCCACCACCCATGCGAGGGCCAAAACCGCCGCCGAAGCCCGGACGGCCACCGCATCCAGGGCGTGGTCCACCCATCATGCCGCCGTGGTGGTGGTGGTGGGGTTGGACCATGACCGGACGGGGGCCGTAACCACCGCCGCCGTAACCGTGGTGTCTGCGTGAAAGACCGAAACACATGTTGTGATGTTGATTGAGTTGAAGTAGATTAAGTTGTGCTTAATTTGTTTAGTCAATGAATTGACTATGTACTTTGTTTTGTTGTGGTGGTTTGAAGTATTGGTTGGGCTTGTGTTGATTGTTGGATTGTAAGGGTGTGTTTGTGTAGAATTGTATGGGTCCTAATTGAGATCTTGGTTTGTTTCAATTGCTTGAAGATGTTTGATTGGTGGTGATGAGCAATCCAGGAATGGAAAGGGAAAACAGGACAACTTTATACAGAATGTTTCTTCAACAGAGTCCCGCATTGAGGCTGTGATCAAGACCCTTCGTGCGTCATTCCGGCTCGTCGGCCGAGCGCTAGGATGCCCACACCCGGCTCGGCACTGGGATCAAAGAGCCAACTTGGCTCATGTCATGAGGGGCCGCGCAATTGGGGGCTCCGCACGCGATCTCGTTACGGCGTACTAAACCGATAACGTCACTCTGAGCCCCGAGCTAGGCGCAATGCGCACTCAAGGTTCATCCCAAATCAAGCGTTGTGGCTTGGGGGTAGAAAACCGTCGAGCCACAACGGAAAAGCAGGTTCATCGGTCAATGCCGAGCCACACCGAGGTCGGCAAGGTTTCTCCCTTCGCAGGGAATGACGCCACACTTTCGAGGCGAGACTATGCGAGTCAGCCCAGCCCCGCGGTGTGCCGGCCAATTGGAGCCGTTGGTCTTGGGGGGCGGCATTTTGGTGCCGCAGTCAGTGTTCGCGCTGGGACAGTTGAGCTTGGCCCACGTCTGTTCGTTGATGACATCTTTACGGACAGTGCAGGATTTCTGACAGGTTGCCGTTGGGAAAGATGGCGGACACGTGAATTCGTCTGGTTTCTCGCGTCTTCGTCATTTGTTCAGGGCCCGAGCTAACTGGATTGTTCTGGACCAATGAGGCCAAGACTCTAAACCTCGGAGAAGATGAGGCGCAATCGTGGCTCAGGCGTAATGTAATGTTAAGGGTCCGAATTCAGAGAAGTCAGGGGATCCCCGTTCTGACAGTGTGGCTTTAACGGCGGCGCCGACCGAGATGTTGGTTCAGAAGACCGCATTTGCTCCACTTCGCCGATGGCCGAATATTGGCTACTGCGGGCTGCACGTTCTCCCACATTCCGAGCAGGGAAAACAACAACAGAGATCTGAGAATGTCAAAAACCTACGCGCGTGACTTGAAAAGCTATGACGTCATTGTCAGACAATAAGTTGAATCGCATCTTAGTCCATGGTTCTCCTATCCCTTGAACATATTTGCTCATCGAACCCGATCCCCTGTCAAAAAAGGTGAGACTGATTTGAGGAGGCGATGATCACAAAACTCTGCATCTTTTGCAGAGGCACTTTCGTTTGGCGATGACTTCGTTCCTATGGCTCAGGAAATCCACAGATCTGGACTTAAACGCAGAATGATCGAGTGAACGAGCCAGTTTGAAATTTGCAGCTAAAGGACGAGTTACCATGAATTGCATGCCTTTGAAGTATTTGAGTACGCGTAGTGTATGATTCTTTCTCGGGTCATTACTATCGCATCCCAGTTTCTCACGTAAGTCAAGACTTTAAAAGTTGCAATCCACTCAATACGCACTGGATCACCCCGATTACCAAACTCGCCAAAGTAAGTGCCAAGATAACTGCGGCCAACCAAAAAGTCCACCACACCACCCAATTTCGGCGGTCATGCCAAAACTGGGTGAGTGTTTTAGGCGTTGCCTCGTCATACGCCTGCTTGAGAATAGTAAGACGCTTTCTCCAATATCGGAAATTTCCCAGTCGACGACGCTCAGATTTCAGCGTGCCACAACAGCCGAGGCGGTGGTCGATGACCAAAGGATGGTCACCAGTGTCAAGCTTCTCCACGCAAAATCTGAGTGATCTTGTCCGGCAGCAATTTACCCCGAATAGGGATTGAGGGTACAGCAAAGCCAGAGTATCAAGAGTTTCCTGTACCAATCCCTCTGGATAAACAGAACTTTGGGGTTCCAAAAATAAGACACAGTCTGCGCAGAATATTTGAGAGGAGTAAACTCACTCGACGTAATGTGTCATGTCTTTCAAGAACGAGACATGATGGAATACACACACCGTCATGTCCCCAGTATCGTCTTCGGACAGCAATAGATGGCTGGCCAGATTGTCCGTCGGTTCAAATCTGATCCCCCCAATTGCGTCGAGACTCCAAGCATTGAAACTTCTTGGGAGCTTTATGTCTTCGGGATTCATAATAATGTCTTTGACGAAGTGATTGTGTATCAAGGTGCGTAGAGGGCCGTCTGTCCAGAGAATATGAGTCGCGACGTCGATCACCTCGCCTTTCGTACGACCGACCTTGACCATAAGAAGTAGGCTCAGGGCGAGGCTTACAGTATTTTCACAGTCTTGTTGAGTTGATGTCCTTCTGGCTTGTCCAGGGAGCTGGGAAATTACTTCCTCTTTCGTCATGTCGCCAGCTTCTGACAACTTCTCCAAGAAAAGATTGAGATCAGCCGATGATCTCAGGGCAGAGAACATACCGTTGCCAACCGATGCCCACTCTCGACGATAAAACTGCTCAAATGCTTCATAGCTAATGTTTTCGGTAGCGGCGTTGGGCCTTCGACGACAATTGAGGTAAATCGGCGGCGTCTGCCACAGGTCTTCGCCGATGTCCGTCATATCCATTTGCACCTTCACAAAGGATGTTTACTTTGATTAAGAAAACGCATTAAAATGGGGAAAGAACAGGACTGGGTATCACTTATGAGCAGTCAACCCTAGAGCCTGAGTGCCGATGACGCTTCCGCCTTCAAACCATCCTACTCCCACGATTGGCCCAGGATTTAGGTGTGGCCGATGTCATTCAAAATTTTGCTCATTAGTCTCCTCTTGTAAGACTTCTTCTACTTGCGGTGGCTTGTGTTGAACTACCACTCATGCGGAGGAAGTGCACTTTCAATTGCCAACAGAGCATGTTGGATTGGTGCCAACGCAGACGGAGGCGTTTCCTCAGAGCAATCAATTGGTTGCATCCACATGTGCAATAATATGCATGTCATAAATACAGAATTTTCGCCCAACAGGCCCAATTGGGCTTGGGTAGACCTGCAGATTCCATTCAAATTTGGCCAACGGTGATGCCATAACAACGCCTTGTCTGCACGGGTCTGCCTTGAACGCTTGGCGGTCCGCCCTGGTTCCCTGGAGCCTCCATCAGATTTCGTACCATCCTCAAACAACTATTGCGGTCTTACACCTTGTTGCTTCATGTCGCATCGGCAAAAACTCATTTTTTTCGATCCTCAAGTTGAAACCAGAACATGCCACGAAGCATCCATGTCCGTCCGCAACGCGCCCCCATGGCCTCATGCAGAAGCGTCATGCGGTCGCGAAATTTTCACATGTCCCCTAAAGAAACGGGTGTGGCACGCCGCAGGGCCTGCGAAAGATGAGTACGAGAAGGAAGTCGGAGACAGAGCAGAGAATGTGATCACCGACGAAGGCATCGAGGGCGCAAGAATATATCTACGACTCTACATGATCGGGAAAGCAGAAGCTATTGCCAAGCCTCATTTGGCGGTATGCTGCAGCAATCTGAAACTGAGAGAACATGCTAAGACTGCCCTCGATGCTAGTGGAGTTCTGCCTTCTCATTTCATTACGATAACCGCAAAGTTCCCTCTAGAACAATCGGTCGCTGCTAAAAGGTTGGCCTTCAATGTTGATATTGAGCAGAAAAGCCGCCAGCAGACGGATTTGAATGCGAACGTGTACGCGATTCAATCGACCCACGAGATTGGACGAAATCTATTCAGGGAACTCAATGAGGCTCTCCCCTCCGTATGGGCTACTGGAGGCGTCTTTGTTCAAGCGGAGGGATTCTGGTACCAGCTGACGGTTGAGCATGTCTCTGACGGCGAGGATGAATCAGAAGATTCCTTGGAAACCTACGGAGGCCAGAATTTCATCGAGGGAGTCGACGAAGACCTTGAGGAGGAAAACACTGAGGATTCGAACCTGGATTATGCCTACGATGCTTTGAGTATTGCTAGCAAAACCCCACCGCAAAGCATCCATTCCGCTGGCTCGAGATTTGACCATAATGGAGACAACGAAACATTCCATTCACAAACTGATGTTCTGGAAGAATTCGACGAAACCTACAATCAACTCACGTCCATTCAAACTCCGTGCCATCTGTATCACCACCATCTCGAGCACGCCAAACGAAAGCCGCTGAGTTCCCACATAGGGTCGGATCTGATGAGGATAGGGGTTGTTATGTTCAAAAGCAGCCAGGGCAAACGCCCGCAGCTGGATTACTGCCTGATTGCGTTGGAAAATCAACCAACGGCTCCAGGCTCGAATCAGATTAACTTGGTTGATTCCAAGTACGACGAGAATCGCCAACTTCTGATCCGAAATCCCATAACTGAAATTAGCGATGCATTGACTGATACCCAGATTATCGTCTTGCTGCCCATGGGCCCAATGAACGGTGTGATGATTCAGGGCATTACACGCTTTCGAAGTGCACATTCGGAAAGTTTCCAGAAACTCCATGTGTTGCAACTTGACGGAATTATCAGCGACGGCAATAGCGGCGCGGCCGTTATTAACAGAGCTTCTGGGGTGTTGTGCGGCCATATTGTGATGGGTTGTCCAGGCACTGGGGTCGCTTACATGGTGCCGGCCTGGGAGGTCTTCGCCGATCTTCAATCAAGAGGCATCAATATTTCGATTCCAATTTCTCACTGTGAAGATGGAGAGCCTGATGAAAATTTCAGGGAACATCGCCAGGTGAATTTCCCCCCGTTACCCACACGCTGCAGTATACCTGATGATACTAAGTTTTCTTGGGACCAGAAGAATGAAATATCTCTCACCACTAAATCTCCTGAAAGAGCTACCAAAGCCTCCAAGCCCCATGAAGGGCTTTCAGGGACCTCCGTCAACTGTTCTTGGGAAGACCATGCGTGGCTGAAGGATATGGATGGGTCACTAAGTCAATCTGACTTTTGGTCTCATTTCTTCAGCTTGGGACGAAGAGGTCTGTCTTCTTTCAAAGCGACTATTCTACGAGAGTTTTCCGCCGGTAAGACGTTGAAGACTTTGCAGTTAGGGGGGCCTAGTTCCCAAAAGCCTGTGGCTAGAATTGATGAACGGGGATACGACAACGGCAAATGTCTTGCGAGTAATGGCATTTACACCGCGAAGGAGCTCTTCCGCGAGCTGAGCAAAGATGTAAGTCATTTACGCTATCTAATGTGCAATACCTGCTAACTAAAGACCATAGGAGCTTCCGAAGAATGGGATTCGAAGCCGTGATGCTGATCGAAAACTTGTGTAAGTGTATTCTCAAATTTCTAGTGGTGATGAGCCACTGACCTTTTGACTTAGGCATGTGACGAATTTGGACGCTTGGACGGCTCTAGCTCTGGCTGCAACATGTTCCAAAGTAGTTGCGCCGCCGCTTTCTGAAGCCCTTTATCAGCATATGGGATTCGACTCATCCATTGGAATATTTTCCAGCGTAAGTACCTCTATCAGGACCTCGCTTCGCACACTAACGGAAAGAAGAATCACGGTTCCCGATGGTTTGAACTATCGTTTCATCTACCCTTTTTCGCATGGAGGAGCAGTCCCGAGGCGCGGGTAGATAGTCGTCAGGATTCTCGAGGTGTCCCCCTGAGACTGTCAAGAGATGTTACGTTTTTACACGAAAGGAATTCGAAGAGGGATTACGATGTGAACGAGTACTTGTACGAGGCACAGACATCCTTGGTCGTCTGTGGATTGAGTATGAGTAGTTGGACGTCCTTCAGCTTCCATGACGCTTTCTTCCAGGACGAATCTACCCTTTCAAGATACCCAAACGAAAAGTTCGATGAGACCGGCGGGTCTATTGACATAGGAGGTCTACAGTCCGAATCTGATTCGTTGTCATGGTCTCCGCGAAGGTGGTTCCTCGAAGTCTTTGCGGCACGGCTTTCCCACATTAAAGACGAATGGGATGCCATATTATACCAGCTGAACCGAATTCTTAACCCTCAGGCAAGTTGCCAAGAAGAATTTCATTGCATCAAATACTGATATCTCGCAGTTGGTACCGTCTCAAGCCTTTTACAGTACTGAGATAACAACAGACCTTGCCACTCTGGCGTGGACGCAAAGCGTAAACAGTCTCCTCATGCTGCTTGAGCATAAGCTAAATCAAATTTGGGATTCTTGCGATAAGTTTTATGGCAGGGAGCTAGCAAGGACTTTTGACGACCCCGAATCTCCAGAAGACATGGCGGCGAGCGACGATCTACTACATGATATTCGGCAGTCAATAAAGGATATGAGAGGTCAACAGGTTAGACTCAAATATCTGACAGAACAAGTCGAAGCGAAAATGTCCACGGTATGCGTTCCATACTTGACTTTTGGAACTTTCGCACTTTAATTTTGTTATGAGATGCTAATGAAACTACCAGCTCCGTTTGGGAATGCAGGTGGATGATTCCAAAGTCTCAATCAAGCACCTCCAAACATCTGAGACAATGGTTCTTGAGCCGAGAATCTTGGCCTGGATGGTCAGTGATATTCTCCTTCTAGAAGAATCAACTGTAATGCTGACGCCCTTCTAGACCATACTTTCTCAGCCTTTGATGATCACTGCTGCTGTCTTCAGCTGCGACGACATTATCTCTTTTCATCGCACATGGTCCAGCTTCATTATTGTCTTGACTATGGTTACGGTCTGCATGGTCCTTGCGGTTTCTATTTGCTTTCGAATTACGGCGGGAAGCTGGGCGTTGATGCCCCAGAAAGTGTCTCAAAAAGACATTATTGGCTTCGACTCTCGTGAGACTACATTTTAGGAAACCAATCATGGTTTTCCTCAGATGACAGATCTGTCTATGAAATCTGAAGGGATCAGCACGGCATGGCGGGAAGCTTTTTCTTTTCTTTTCCTTTTTTTCTGTTTTTTTCCCGACCGCATTGGCCGCAGTTCATACACAACTCACAAGTATCATATTCTTCGTAAATCAATCGGTCAAAATATTCCATTGGTAGATCCCCTCTAGCAGCCTTTTTTTAAGGTCATAGCTGTTCTGGGGCTCTCGGCTACCATCCTCTTGGCCAACTAGAACCATCCTTCTGCAACCTTCCAGATTAAATGCGGCCCTGGCCTTCATAATCTAGTTATCTTGGAAGCATATGTTAAGTTGACTTGTTCCCAACTATGTTTCCCAGAACTTCAGTTTAACACAAGTATTTAATACCCTTCCCATGCTCGATGAGGCTCTCTCAACTCCACAATCTCTTTGTTGGTAATTGCGAAGTACTCCTCGTTCTGCAGCAAGAATTGCTTAATGCCTCGAACGTCTGTTTGCTTTCCGTCATCATGATCCTCCTCCAATGTGTTCAACATGGCATCTAGACGCGCCCTCACGACCTCAGCTCTATACTTGGCCCATTGGTAGTAGAGCTCGGATAGCTCCGAGATCGGTCTAATTGAGGTGAGGACAGAATCGTCCTTCACGCAAGGGTCACGAGGTCGGAATGAAGTTATCATCGTGATGCGCTCGGCGCCGCCGATAGCTGCCAGTGCTTGATGTTCGACATATCTCCCCTGGAGAATGACAGCGTAGCCCTTGAGAAGCGTCAGCTGAGAAACACTTGGCCACCGTGATGTTTTGCTTACCATCTGTGGCCCTCTGACTTTGAGGACTTCCCCTGTACCGGTCTTGAGAGCGGTCTCGCCTCCAAGCATATTCGTAGCATCGCTCATCATCACAACACACACGAACGGGAACGCATCGTAATGCCACTTGGTAACCGAAGTGTTGTCCCCGCTCTTCGCAGCAGCTTTGTCCTCATCGCTGGCAGCTTTCTGGATGGAGATGTTGATATTGCCGACTTCGTACTGGATGTTCGGGATAAGGTCCACTCCTGCAACCTTGGAGATGACTTCAAGAGTCTTCGGGTTGTTCCAGGCTTGGTCCATGAAAGGTGCATATCTGTGACAACAATTAGTTAAGGACGTGACGTGAAAATGGGGTTCCCTACTTCGGACAATGACCTCGCAGTTGACAAGGAGCGAAAGAAGTGCTGTGCAAGCAGTTTTCCCACACTTCCGTTGTGAAGATCTCCTGCCGCATCGTTTGGATGGCCTCCTCAGTGAACAAGGGGAATGGCTCTGAACAAGCAACAGGGGAGATGCCGATATCCTCCGGAAGAGAAACATCCTTGAGAGTAAGCTTCTTAGGTTCTTCGACGAAGGCAAGGTGCTGGTCTGGGTTGAAAGTGGCGGTGGGCCTCTCAGAAGATGTTGGCCTCAGCTCATCCTTTATGATAGGCTTGAAGCTCAATTTGGCCAAGGGAGATGGAGCGGCGGAGACGACTTCGGCCATGACTGAAAATATGTATCTCAACGTAGAGCGTGATAGTTGGGAGTAATCTTGAGTGGTAAGGTTGGTTCTGAGTTTCTGTCTTCTTGAGTTCTTGTCTGCTCATTCAGATCACTTCCACGACAGCTTCATTGTTATAGATGATATAGATAGGTCATCAGGACGGCAACACGGAGTCCAAGCCGTGTCGCTCTCTTGCGAAACGCCCAAACCTAGAAAGACTGAGGTCCGGAGATTGCCATGATTGGTTCCTTGGCCGGCCTTTTTCTCCCCGACCCGAGATGGTTTCGTAAGTATGATTCATGTCGGGCATCAACTCAAAGATAGTCATGAGATAGTCATTGGCCTGGAGCTTGTGGTTCACATGCCCTTCACTCCAGCCTTGTGATTGTTTCGATAAGGAGCTCCATGCGGAGAGTTGGCCGCCTGCTTGGCTTCGGCTTCGTGTTATGCAGCACAATCGGATCCCGAACCGAGAGGGTTCCGATCCTGGTCGCGCTCACCCCACCAAAGCCGAGACCTGCATACCCCTCCCGACCCCGAACCCCGCTCAGGTGTGCGGAGTAATCGGATCTCATTTGGTTTACCACTTTCGGGTAGCGCAGCAAGGGTCGGACACCATCTTGTAAATATGACGATGCACATCTCTCCTAGATAGACAGGCATAAAACAAGCCTCGACAAGTATTGCCATTGAGATACCGAAGCAGACTCATTATTCCTTCTACACGCGTCAAGTCCTCGTAGCCCCATTGTTCCGTCTCATCTCATCTCATTTCCTACACAATGTCATCCTCCCTGGCGTCTTCTTTGAAGGACCCCAGCCTCTTTGTCGAGAAGTCCTACATCAACGGACGATGGGTCTCATCAACAACAAACAAGACCTTTCAAGTCACCAATCCGGCAACAGAAGAGCTTATCGGGACATGCCCTGAGTCCAACACGGATGACCTGAATAAGGCTATCGAGTCCGCTGCCAAGGCCTTTCCAGCTTGGAGGGCAACGTCAGGCCGACAGCGCGGTCGCATCATCAAGCGTATCTTTGAGCTCCTGGTTGAGAACAAGGAGGATCTCGGGAAGATCAACACCGCCGAAAACGGCAAGGCAAAAGGCGATGCTGAGGGTGAGTCTCTATTCGCAGCCAGCTTCTTCGAGTGGTTCAGCGAAGAAGCTTCCCGGATCTACGGCGATATCATTCCACACAGCAACCCGAATTACAGGACCCATGTTATCAAGGAGCCCGTCGGTGTATGCGGTTTGATTGTCCCCTGGAACTTCCCTCTCGCCATGGGTGCCCGAAAGGTCGCCGCCGCTCTTGCAGCCGGATGCACGGTTGTCATGAAGTCAGATGGTCTCACGCCGTTTTCTTCCAACGCCCTCGCCGTCTTGGCCGAGCGCGCTGGTGTTCCTCCTGGTGTTCTCAACGTTGTGACAGCGTTGGAGAACACACCCCAGCTAGGTCTCTCTCTGTGCCAGTCAGACACCGTGAAGAAGATTTCTTTTACCGGGTCGACTCGCGTTGGCAAGTTGTTGATGAAGCAATCAAGCGACACTCTGAAGAAGCTGAGCTTAGAGCTGGGTGGTAATGCACCTTTCATCGTCTTCGACGACGCAGACCTCGAGGTTGCTATCTCCAGCGTTCTCGTCTCTAAGTTCAAGGTCACTGGTCAGACCTGCGTTTGCGCCAACCGAATATTCGTCCAGGAAGGCATCTATGACAGGTTTGCTCAAAGACTAATTGAAGAAGTCGGCAAGTTCAAGGTCGGGTACGGCACGGATGCGTCGGTCACTCATGGACCTCTCACGAACGGCGTGTCGAAGGTTGAGGAGCACATCAAGGATGCCGTCAGCAAAAATGCAAGAGTACTCATTGGAGGAAAGCGACTTCCTTCTGTGGGTAAGAACTTCCATGAGTTAACGATCCTGGGAGACGTCGATGACTCCATGAAGGTCACGCAAGAGGAGACATTCGGTCCCGTGGCGGCGTTGACCAAGTTCAAGACGGAGAGAGAGGTTATCGAGAGGGCCAACAAATCCGAGGTAGGATTGGCATCATACCTCATCACTAATGACCTGGGACGATCGCATCGCGTGTCGGAACAGCTAGAATTCGGCATGGTTGCTATCAATACCGGAGTCATCTCCGATGCTTCCGCTCCGTAAGTGACCCACACCGGCCGGATGAGTATACGCAGAGTGAGAACTGATGATTTCCCAGATTCGGAGGCGTAAAGCATTCCGGCATGGGGCGTGAAGGCAGCAAGTACGGTGTGGAGGATTATTTGACCATAAAAATGATCGTGACGGGTGGTATTTCACCAAACTTGTAACATCGTTCAAAAGTAGACATCGGTGAATTCAGTCAGGTGCCTGAAGTATCATGGGCGCATAGTAATGATCAAAAGTCATTTGCATTGAGACTACCCAATAGTTCAATCCTTATCATCTAGTATTCCGGTGTCGCTAAAAATCAAACCGGTTCAACATCGCTTTTTTGTTTTCGGCCGTGATATTTCGACCACCCTTAGACGTAATGCAGGGTGCCGTCATTGTTTCCAATCTTCTCATCCAGGTTGATGGAGGCGCGGACCCACTGTCCGTGACGGGACAGCTCCGCCTCCAGACGCTGTCCGCCGTCGACGAGGCGGACATCCCGGGCCGAGGCACCGAAATTGCCGCCACCACCGCCGCCGCCGCGTCCCGGAATGCGGAGATTCTGGCCGGGCCAGATCTGGTCAGGGTTGGCAATGTTGTTGTGTCTCGCGATCTCCTCCCAGCTGGCGCCGAAGCGGTCGCCAATGTTGCGAAGAGTGTCTCCCTGCTGGACGGCGTAGTTCTGCTCACCACCGCCACCGCCGCCGCCGGAAGTCCAGCGGAAGCTACCTTGGTCGTTCTCCAGGTAGCGGTTCAGGCTGATGCAGCTCTCTTGCCATCCGCCGTCGCGGCGCTTGCAGGAGGCACGGAGGTTGTAGTCACCGTGAGCATCGATGCGGATATCGCGGGAAGAGCCGGTGAAGCCGCCGGCGAAGTTACCGCCACGGGGGCGGTCACCAGAGCCACGGCGCTCGTGGTGGTGGTGGTGCTCCTCGGGGCGGTGATGGTCCTCTCTCCTGCGTCTCTCCTCCTCCTCGTGTCTACGCTTCTCCTCTTCCTCTCTGCGCTTCTCCTCCTCCTTCTTGTCGTCACGCTCGTGCTTCCAGTCAGAGACTCCATCCTGGAGCTTGTGGCCGGCAAAGGCACCAGCTACGGCACCGATGAAGGTGCTGGTCTTGCTGTGGCCGAAGTTGCCGCCGACCTTATGGCCACCGAAAGCACCGGCAGCACCTCCGGCGAGAGCACCGGTGAGACCACGCTCACCATCCTCGCCTTCCTGGCCGCCTGGGCCGCCGTAGCCTCCAGGTCCGTCGTTGCGGTTGTGGTCGTTGTAGCCTCCCTGGTTCTGGTAAGGAGGAGGGGAAGAGAAGTTGTTCTGCTGGTGGTTGGGGCCCTGGCCATATCCGAACCCTTGTTGCTGATGTTGCTGGCCTTGTTGCTCATTGTAGTAAGAGTTGGCCTCACCGCCGGGGCCTTGGTTGTGACCTCCGTAGCCGCCCTGAGGGCCGCCGGGACCGCCGTAGCCTCCACCCTGGTGGCCGTAACCGCCGCCCTGGTTGTTGTTGCCGTAGTAGCTCATGATGTTTTACTTGTGAGGAATGAAAAGACTGTGTTTATTTATTGGTATCAAAGTCCGAAGATCTGAGTGATAAGAAAGCATAGTGATATGCGGGGAAGCTGTATCCTTTAAATAAGTTCTAAGCTAGTGTTGAGCCTCCAAGAATGGGTCGATCCGAAGCTTGTGATGCTACAGATTACCCAATCGTCGAGATATTTTTACACCGCCGCCATTGTGGAGAGAGGCTGATGAAAGTCTCGACTCAGAACGTCCGCGCGTTATCCTCGTCTCGGTCCAATCGGGATGACCGCGTCAGGGTTCACGGCCCACCCCGCAGACACAGCCCCGGATGTCGGCACGGCTCTTTGGTAGGCAAAGGCAGGGAAACAAACGCGTTAAAGTCTGGGCACTCTCAGGCCCCTGCCACGTAGCTTGTTTTCTGACGTGCCAGAGGGCAAAAGAAAGGGGCGTTGGGGGCCCTTGGGGGTCGCGGAGAGGAGCTCAGAGAGGAGGATTCCGCCACAGACCCCTGGATCCGAATGCGCCAAACAGCGCCACTAATGAGCTCTGAAGCTAACCAAAGACGGCGGATCGACCCTCCTTTGCCGCAGCTGAACCCTTCCCCGCACAGGTGGCTGAGAGAGAAGCGCGTCGAAAGGTTGGCGACTGGTATGAGTGGTATCCGATGTTCACCACGGAAACCGACGTCTGACATGTTGAGCGCTTGCATATGTCACAGGTGGGCAGCTCTGTGATGAGCCTCAGGCGAACAGCTGTTGGTGACGTTCGCCTTGCAGAAACCTAATGCCAACCTCGGGTGCGAGAGTTGCGGTTTCCGAGAGGGCTCCCGGGGTCCAAGAGAGGGAACGAATGCGGCCGCGGACATTGCTTGCTGAAGTTCGACAATGTCAAAAAGGTCAATTGCCGTCGTCGTAGCTTTCCTGGAGCTTCCGAGGCTCGCGTCGTGTCACATTAGCTGAATTAAGGTTGAACGATGAACAAGCCATTTCTGACACCATCGCCAGCTCAAACGGCCATCAGGCCAGTCCCGGACAAGTGGCAGTCAGACGCAAACAGCCTCTGCAGCCGCGTCAATGCCACCTTGCGGCGAGAGCTTCTGCAGGGGACCGGTTCAGTGATGATCCTTCCCTAGTGCAGTTTAGCAATCCATGGATAACTCCACTTCGATCGTTCGTGAAACGAGATCCCAGGTCCGCAATTGCTGCGGCAGCGTTTGCAGTTGGAATACGAGTGTTTGATCGCGTGCTTTTGTTGAGATAAATTGACGAAGTCGCTCGGGAATAATGGTCTCGGTGCCGTCGGGAGTCCCGGAAATCTTGGCAGCAGTTGAGCTGTGGGATGCCGCCAGTACCCAACAGCTGTCATCTTCCTCCTTGCGTGTGTAGGTGCTGTCATCCCCGACCCTCCGTCGCTCCTTAGTGAGACACCATGGAGATTACTACGAAATTCTCCAAAGTTGAAAGAGGGGATGCGGAAAATGGCTAGAAACCTTGTCATGATGGCAGCATTCAAGAGCTACACCCCGCAAATAACTGCCGGCGCCATGACATACCCTGGAGAGTTCGTCACAGAGCATGCATATCACTTTCAGGGACCACGAGCCCTGGCGACAAAGTAAGCGCAGGACAGCGGGGGTTTTCTCCGAACACCCGGATATTGTCAGCCTCCGGCGCGGGGATACGCCGGCTGGACAGGCCCCACAACGCCGGCTCGACCGGATGAACCTACCATCACTTTCCATGTTCCCAAACGGGGCCAGTCACACCTTGATTCATAATTCGAGAATTCTTGACCCGTTAGAATTTTGATTTTCGTCGTTATGTCGCTCGCAGAAGCTATCAACGGAGCTGCTGGCAGTGGGCGTTCGGACAGGCTACCGCTAAACCGTTGAGACCATACTAGAGTTTTGCATAAGAACACACATAGACTGCATAGTTGCATGATATTGACGGGCCGATTCTACTAAAATAAAGCGCTAGATCGATAGCCCATCATTGAGCGACTTCGCAAGTGCATGCCTGAGCGCAAGCCTGCGTGCCGATGAGCTAGACCGAGCGTCGCGAATCTCGGTGAAATCTAAAGCGAGCATTGAGCAACTGTGCCATGCGCCTGCGCAAGCCCACTTCCTCTTTGTCAATTATGAACGCTTCGTGCTCATCAACTGCAGGTCGAATTCCGACTAGATGAGCATGCTCAGGCCGGATGAACCGTGTGCGGTTGAAGATCTTCCATCCACCAAAGAGCAGAAATGCAAGAATGGCCATAGTGTAGCTGCTGAAAAATGATCCAATGTCCCATCGGCCTTTGAGAAATATGGCGTAACCATAGAAAAGCTCGACAGCAATGAGCCACACCAAGGCAATCCATGTGCCATATGGTTGTAAGTAGCCGACATACGGGAGATCCGATCTGTTGAAGTTCTGGGCTTGAAGGGCTCGATAGAAGAAGAGGTAGTTGACGCAGATGACGATGTATGTTACCAAGGTTCCACCAGTAATTAGGTTCGTCAGCCTATTGGAGTGCCGATTAGCATTGAATTCACCCCAATCATGGCCTAGACCCCGAACAGTGGAATTAGTCAACGTGCATGCTTACCAGGTCAAAACAGTAACGGAACCGCTTCCCAGTTTCAAGTAAGAAAGACAGGCGAAAGCGACCGAAACTAAAAGGCAATAGACAGGAACACCTTGCTTGGTGCACTTGGTCAAGAACTTCGGCGCATGTCCGTTGATGGCCAAGCCGTAGAGACTGCGGGATGAGCAGTAGACGTAAGCGTTTCCGGCAGAGTAGATGCTTGTCAGAAGCAAAGCGTTAACGATATGTGGAAGAACCCCAATGTTCATGTTCTTCATGGCAATGACAAACGGCGAAGCAGCACCGGTCCCCGTCTCGCCGTTGCTAAGCACCCGGAGCAGAGTAGGGTCATTAGCCGGCAGGACGATACCAACGCACAGTGCGCCGCCTATGAAGAAGATGCCAAAGCGCCAGTAAACTGATTTGAACGCAGACTTCATGGTCTTCCGAGGATTTTGGGCTTCACCAGCAACAGTGGCCAAATACTCGGGACCGACGATTGTGAAGGCTGCTTGCCATAATGCGGCAAGGAAACCATGAAATCGACCGAGGTTGCCTGTGTCGATATACTCAACGAAGGGAGACTTGCAGTTTGATCAGTACTTATCAGGGCATTGGATGTGATACAAAGAAACAGATAAAATGGAGCTATACCGGCTTGGACCAATTACGGAAACCATAAGCGTCATGTTGCGGGTTGCCTCCCACCATCGTGATGAAGGTGAAAAAGAAGAGGATGCAGATAAGCAGGAGCTTGCCCCCAGCCAGCCAGAACTCTGTTTCGCCAAAGTACTTGAAAACGAGCACGTTGCATGCTCTGAAGGCCTTATCGTCAGCATCACCGAAGTTTTGACCACGAAAATTGGAACCCTACGCGTAGAGGACGATGCATGTCGTGATGACTGCAGCGGAGGGGATATCGTCGCGCCAAAAGGTCAAGACCATATCCAAAGCCGTAATCTCAAACGGAATGAGAAGCGCCTCAAAGAGAAAGAAATTCCAGCCGACCATAAAGCCCCAGGCATCGTCAACCCAGGTCCTGGCGTGGTGGATAAAAGATGCACTGATTGGCATGAAGACAGTCATCTCCGCCAACGAGTTGTTGACTTGGGCAATTACGCAGGCTTGCAAAGCAAATGCTACCAACAGGCTGCCTGCTCCACGCATCAGACCATACCCGATGCTAACGAAAAGGGCTGTTCCGATCGAGCCTCCGATTGCCACGAATTGGACTTGACGTGGAGTGAGATGGCGTTGCAGGTGTTCGGGATTGTGGATAATCTCGCCGCTTCCCACTTCACTCGCGCCGCTGTCCTTCTTCAGCTCAGTCATCTTTGCGGACAGCTTCGACTCAGTATCGGCCAGGGCTGCGCTCATGATGTGTGCTTCCGAAGTTGTTTGGCACTAATGAGGTTCAGGTGGCTGTAAACTGATACCAATGGGAAAGAGAGTTATGAGTGGTAGTGGGTTGAAATTGCGATGATGATTGGGAAGTTTCGCGGACAGGTCAATGTTAAAAACTTCCCAGAATACATGTAAAGGCCAAACCACCGTTAATTACCATTGCAACGTCGTCGTCGCGTATACGCACTTAAAACAGCAGAACTAGCCTATCTACCTAGGGACTACGAAACAATCCTGGTCGTCTTCATCGGTTCGTAAGGGTCGGATGGAATACAGGCCCCCGACATCTAGCCCGAGATGGGATAGGTTCAGCTGACAGCTTGAGCAGTCGATCACATGGTTCATCCGGTAAGGTTCCGCCCTGATTTCTTGATCCATTACGAGGATTTCAAGCTAGAGAGTGAGGGCCCCTTCGGGCTCGGGACCAATCAGCTGCTTGACATTACGTCTGCACAAAGCCGAGACACCGGACAGCTAGAGGCGATCATCTGGGGTAGAGGCGCCAAGACGGACGACACTATGACACACTTCTTGGTAGTAAAAGTTGGCAAAAGCACCAACGAACTCAGTATGTGGCGGCTATTGCTTTAAAGTGCAATGCCTTACGTTGGATGAAGCCGAAGCGAGTCGGTTCATCCTCCGTAGTGAGTCTCGGATGCGTTCTTGCAGGGATCGGGAGCGGGAGTTCGGGTCTGATAGAACCAGGCGCCCGACGACAGTGGGGTCCAATTTCAACAGGAGGCTCGAACCAAAAGATAAGACTATGACAACGGGATTGACTTCATTCGTCAGTTATTTTGAAATTTCGGGTTGCCATGTTGCGTTCCAGATGAGGTACGAACCTCGCCGATGGTAGATCCCGAGGTGCTCCTGTCGTTCCGGGCATCAACCATCGGTCTTCAGTCGGCTTATCAGAAAAGGTATTGGAAAAGCAGAAGAATCCTTGAATTTTGTGCATGTTCAAGTGTTTATAAGACTTATATAGCTTGAGGGCATTGTTACTCTCAATGACATGAGATAATAGAAAGCATCAAAGCGCCTCTCTTATCAAATATCGTGTCACTATCCTACGCCCCTGACTTTTGATCGCGGCCTCTTCCAAGAAGCTTTACTTTTTCACCAATACAATAATGCAAGAATTCGAACTTCAACAAATTTCAGAAGCTCTTAGAGCTGCTCGTATAAGCCGAGAGCCCATCGACCCGCCTGCCAAGACCTGGGGAAGCCTCGATCCTGACAGCGCCTTTGAAGTCCAAAGAGTGACCGTCAAGAATGCGGTCAGCAAGTACGGCGACCGTCTTGTGGGGTACAAGCTAGGAAACATTGCGAAAGTCATGCAAGATGCATTCGGACTCGATCAGCCAGACTACGGTTTTCTTCTTGGGAGTACATTCATCTACGAAGGCACTACATTACCGCGGAAGGATTACATCAAGCCATTTGTTGAGCTCGAACCAGCTTTTGTGCTGAAGGGTCATCTAAAGGGACCGAACGTTATCGTGGCCGATGTCATCAACGCCATAGACTACGCCATACCCGCCATCGAAATCATTGACTCAAGGGTGAAAAATTGGGCCATAGGCTTGGCGGATACTCTAGCAGACAATGGCTCTACCGGAGCTGTGATTCTCGGTGGCACCCCTCGGCGGCTTACTGACCTCACCCTGAGCAACACTCGAGGAGTTCTTCGTTTCAATGACCGAGAGGTTATGGCTGGCAACACCCGGAACGTACTTGGTAACCCGATCTCAGCTGTTGCCTGGCTAGTCAACAAGCTTTCTAAGTATGATGTCGAGTTCAGCCCAGGCCAAGTCATCTTGCCTGGTAGTTGTCTACAAGCAGTTCCGATGGAGGAGCCGGGTCATTGGTCTTGCACCTTCGAAGGCTGGGGTACTATTGAGTTTGACGTAGTTTGAACTAGCCTTGCTCTAGCAGCAATCGAGAACTATTCTGAATGGGTATCCAGAGACAGATATCCAACCAAGAGACGTCTGCTGGATTCCTAAATCTGCCCTTGCAACCTGAACAACCCATGAGTAAACGCCTTGAAATAGCCCATGATATTGCACCTTATCCTAGCAGATACTGATTTTGCGTGTATCCGTGTGCCCCTGGCTGACACTTCTCGTCCATGATAGACCCCCACCAACTTCCGGATCCATATTTTGCCCATACTTCCTCGAGCAGAGCGGCAGCTGTCAGGAACATATCATACCTTGTCTTATCATTCCACCACTCGCAATACTGCTTCGCCTGTTCTCTCAGCTCCAAATTCGTTGTTTCGCACCCTGCCAAAAAGGTTGGAAGCAGCAGTTGCTTTTGCAGCATGGTGCCTCGCCGGCACGAGCTGACATGATTGAGAGCTTTTCGGGCCAGCAAACCCAAAACTGGAAGGGAAGTAGTTTTCCGATCCCATTTGAATACTCTCTCAATGTAAAGAAGCAGAGCATATCTCCAAGCTTCGGCGCAGTGGTGTAGATCTTGTTTGTAGTTCAATGCTTCTTCAATCTCCTGCTGATCCACGTTTTGGGACCCATCGTTCTCCAAGGTTCCGATGTCAATGCAGTCCGAATATGCCGGTGCCCTCCAGTCTTTGATAGCTTGCTCCACCAAAAAGACAGGACCTGTATCAAACGTGACGCATGTCATCGTGGTGGCGAGCTCGAATTATCTTGCGTACATTGCTAGACGTGTCATGTATCCGAATAGCTCCTCTGGACAACCAGATACGTTGTAGAATGCCTTTTCATTATCGGGAGTCTGATAATGAAGATTGGAGTGATATGTGTGAGGCAGAACGCAGCCCTTTCGTGTTGTCAGAGCTAAGGTCACGTCCCACCTGAGGTAAGTATTAGCACCTGCTCACACTTGTAACGGGGAAGATGATTTACCAAATGAGCATTGAAATCTGAGCCTCTACTCTAGGCGTTCGTTTTCCTCCGGACTTATCAAATGTTGTGAGAACCCGATGTGCAGCGTGAAGCTGCGACGTCCACGAGCCATACGCGGATAAAGAGCACTTTGGACGGTCAGTTGATGATTTGAGAAACGCCGTATTCGGCAAGACGTACATTGAGAGTGAATAAAATGAGGACCGCTTCAAGAAGACCATTCTCAGCAGTCTGAGTATGTCCACTCCTTTGCCTCTCTTCAAGCATTTTTAAAGCAGTCGTTTTGTGCTGGCTAGCTTCTCTTCCACACTTCCCTGTGACCCTATTGATATGTCGATAGGATAATGCGAGAATCGAGTGGAGGAGAATATCGGATTTCTTCCACTTCAAGGACCCGCATCTGAAAGGGTTGGCGTCAAAATCAGACGTCAGTGGGAGTATGCAGAACTCTTGGTCGTCTACCTGGTTGGTCAGCTATGTAGCATTAATCGTGATAGGTATAAATACACTGAAGCAGAAGGTCATCGAGTGTACTAGTCACCTCGTTTGGTGAAGGGACCTTCGGCGATTCGATGGCCCTCGATGCTCGGTGCACCGAGATCATGCCGGGGTCAACTTGGCTTGAGATACCTTGCATCTGGTCATCTCTTTGTGATTCGAGATTCTCGGAGGCGTCAGTGCCTGATGGACTACAGGAGGATAAGTCATCGACTCCAGCAAGGCCATCTAGGGTCTCCAGGAATGGTGTCAACAGTGAAGAAAATTCCATGGAGTCGAATTCGTAGCCCGTGAACTGCCCGTTGGCTCCCCAGAAAGGATCAACATTCGACACTGGCAGGGCTTGCATGGGCAAGGTCGCGTCAATTCCAGGCATCTGTGATGACAGAGGCGTAGTTGGAGGTAGAGTGGTACCAGAAAGCCCTGATGGCTCTGAAGACGCTGCTTCGTTCATATTCATGGGCTGTGGCGTCCGAGAACCAGATTCATCCTCCGGTCTTACAGTAATGCAATCCCGCGACTGCCCCTCTGCCTGGGCGTTAAAGTTATCTGCAGAATGCAGATCGCCATTCGTGACATCAGGGAATTCTGGATGATCTCGAGAATGGTCGTTCAAATTACGACGAGCTCGGTTATGACGATAAGGGGTAGAGTTCGGCTTGCGTTTACGACTTGGCCCCCCGACGAATCTGAATCCTCGTGACGGCTTCGTTGCTGATTGCGGCATGTTCAGAATGTTACAGTGATGAAACAGTCGAGGTGAAGAACATAAGAAGACAATGTGAGCGTCGAGTTTGGAGAGTTCAAAGGACCCAGGTTCTGTTCCGAACAGGCGACAGTTGCCGTATTGGGGCCATTGTGATGTCTTATCGGGATCTGTGCCTTCCCGACCCATCAAAAATAGCGAACTAACGCGGGGTAATTGGAGACTGGTGGGCAGACTCCGGTGCCGGGCCCTCGTCCGCCCTGCGGGTTATATATTCCGCTCCAGTCCAGAGGCCGGGATCTGCGTCCCATCTCACTATCCGCCTATCTTACAAGCGTCAGGAAATCATTTTAGTTCAAAATCCCTTGTCCACTATCGATTGATGCGAGAATTGTTGCGGCTGGATCTGGAATTATGCTTTACTTTACTAAATGGGATGCGAGATATATATCCAAACGTCATACGTCATAAACAGATCCTTGCTCTACTAGTTCTAGTTGTACAACCCTCCATTTGCCGACAAGGTAGAGCCGGTGGTCCAACGAGCGTCGTCGGAGCACAGGAACGCTACCAAAGGAGCAATGTCATCAACCTCGCCAACTCGAGCAGCCGCCGGAGTAGATTCAATCAAGGGCTGCATATCCTTCAAAAATTGCTCATCACTCTGGAACCATTGGTCTAGACATTTGGCCTAGGATTAGCAGGGATCCCGTATACATGTACAAACTTGAAACGTGTCTTTGTGTAGTAACTCACCTGTTGCGATCGGACCTGGGTTGACACTGTTGACTGTGATTCCATGAGATTGCCCCAGTTCCTTCGCCCAAGTCCGAGTTAGGGCCTCGTTGGCCGCCTTGGTGGCGGCGTATACCGTTTGTCCTGCGACACCCAGGCGAGCGCCGGCGGACGAGATGAAGACGATACGTCCACCCTTTGGGAGATGTGGCTCAACGGCTTTGGTCAAAAAGATTGGGCCCTTCACATTTGTATCGAAATGCCTCTCATAGAATTCAGGCGTGGTGTCCACAAGATTGGCTTCATTGCCTTGGGCGGCGCTGGAGTGCGATTGTCAGCATCAAGTCATGTTCACCCCACGGAGAAGGCGTACTTGTGGATAAGAATATCAATCTTCCCGGTAGGACTGATGCTCAAGGCGCTATGAACGATCTTAGGAATGTCGGCAAGCTTGCTGACATCTGCCTGACAGAGTGCGGCCTTGGTACCGTTGGCCTCGATCGTCTTCACAACTTTCTCCGCACGCTCACGGCTGCCCTCGGACACGTAGTTGACAACCACATTGGCCCCGCGCTTTCCAAGGAGTTCGGCAATGCCTGCACCAAGCCCTCTGTTGTTATTTAACGATTAGCAAACCGCGTCGTCATGATACTAGCAGTGAGAATCCAGTCCATACCTAGAAGCCCCAGTGACGATGGCAACTTTGCCTTCAAGGCTCAATCCCTTAAAGTCTACCATGGTTGAATCTGGGAATGGTAATGAGGCGATACACAAACAGCAATTGGAGGGCTGATGTATCGTGAAGTATCGGATATGAAGGTTTGATGAAGATAAGCAGTGGAAGATGTCTGATGTTTGTCACTTGTTCTTATTTACAATCAACGTATTGATGACGATGCATTTCTGCTGCAATTATCATCGCCGACCTTACGACCGATTACTCTTAAGTGGATTAACTCCGCCTCTTCTGGCAAGTCTACCAATTTCCTACCCTTGTTAGGTAAATGTTCCCACCTGCTGCGGGGAGGACCGGAGTTCGGACCCGGTCCAGGGAGTATGAAATATTTCCTAAATAGGAAATAATACCAACAACCCCGCAAACTTTCTCCAAAAGTCGCTGAATGGCCACGTCCTGAAACTAACAGTGGGTTTGATGCACCCAAAGAACAGGACTCTCCAAGACATAGCTGGAGTGCATTCCGGCAGCACGGCATTGATCCAAAGACGGAATTGTCTGATGTCTTCTGTCAAAACGGATCAACATTCTTAACTGCTGTGGATCGGGCACTAGACTTGGGGCATGTTACCATTTGTTGCATGGTTCAGTTGACATTTTTTACAACATGGCACCTGAGAAGAAGACCAACGATGGGCACGAATGGACTCCTAAGTCTGTCTCGGTTTCGAAAGGCCTCGAAAGTGATGCAGTTGTTCAACCTCCTAGACGGTTGGAATCGACTCCCAACCGCTTGTATGACACCATTGTGATTGGCGCGGGATATGCTGGCCTTGCAGCTGCGCGAGATCTTTCAACCAAAGGTAGGATCTTGGACCTGTTCAAGACTGTTGCTGTCCCAGCTACTAATACACTAGTGTCAGGCCACTCCGTGTTGCTGCTTGAAGCTCGAGATCGTATTGGGGGACGAACCTATACAGTAAAAAAAGATGGTACGTGGTACGACATTTCCGCGTGCATCTAACGCTTCTGCTTACATCGTCGAACAGGATTTCTCTACGAAATGGGAGGCACTTGGGTCACCCACCACATGGGGTACCTGCTCAGAGAGATGACAAGATACAACATGGATCGTGATCTCATGGAAACTGGCATTGCGGATAAAAGTGATGGGTACTATACCATCAACGTTCCAGGTATTGTACCATTTCAATCATCACACTCGCTTCATTGAAACTGATGTTATCGGACTATTTAGGTGCGAAGCCGAGAAGAACAACCCACGAAGAAGCCGGCGCCATGACATCTCGAGCCTGGGATCTTTTCGTGAACGTCGATGGTCAACATTGTCGCACAATCTGCCCTTTGCCCCATGCACAGCTGAATAACATCGTTGTGGATCGATCGACCATCGAGAAATGGGACCAGATGTCTTGTCAGGACCGATACGTGCAAATCAAGGACCAGCTCAGCGCCGAAGAAAGAGGATTTCTTGTATCGTTGCTCTTGCACATCTCGGGCGGTGACATGGAGAACAGCAGCTTCTGGGATATGGCACGATCTCACGCTCTTATGACGCACGACTCCAAAAACTTCGGTGATATCTGGCTTCGATACAAGTTGAGACAAGGACAGACAGCCCTGGCTAAGCGAATGTTCGGGGAAGCCGTTGACTATGGACTCGAGTACATCTTCTCGTTCCCTGTCAGCTCCATCATCCAACGATCGGATGGTATTCAGGTCTGCGGTATTTCAGGGCAAACGTTCAGGGCTAGAAAGGTGGTTTGCACCATCCCACTTAACGTTCTGGAGGATGTCCAGTTCATACCCCCGCTCTCGACGACTCGCCGTGAGGCCATCGAGCTGGGACATGTCAACCAGATGTCGAAGATACACGTTGATGTAAGCAACCCTGAGCTCGAGGGTTGGAACGGCATGCGCTTTCCTGGCACTCTGATGTACGGCTACGGCGACGGTATCCTTCCTGATGGGAATGTCCATCTTGTCGGTTTCGGGAAGGACGAGAAAGGAGCGTTTGTACCAGAGGAAAATCCAAAGGCAGCCGTCGACGCCTTTGAGCAGCTCCATCCGATGAATATTCAGAGAATGGTAAGTCACTTTGATTATCTTGATACGATTCCACAGATCTTAATGATGCTCAGATATTCCACAATTGGTGTAACGATCCATACTCTAAAGGGGGTCCGGCATGGTGGAGGCCTGGATACATGTCCAAATATCAGGATGAGCTTCAGAGCAGACATGGAGATATCTTCTTTGCCAGTGGTGATTGGGCTCATGGCTGGCGAGCCTCTATTGATGGTGCACTTGAACAGGGCATCATGAATGCCCAAACGATTGCCGCGGAACTCAGACCGAAGGGGAGGCTTGGTCAATCTCGCCTCTGACAAGGGCAAATGGGAAGAGTAAGGCGCACTTGTACATTAGAAAGTCTCTCACAGGAATTGGATTGAAATTTCGCTACCTCTTCCTCAGCCTACCTGGTCTGAAATCTTCGTGCTGGGGATGGAGATGTAGTGCAGCAGCCATTTCCACATACCAGGTTAATATAACAATCGTGAGGAACGTCGGAGGCGAAGACAAGTACTAATCTTGAAACCATAGGGCACTGCAATTTTCAATCAAGGGAAGCAATCTTCATAACACGGGCTCACAGAAGCCATGAATCGCAGTGCGTTATTGATAACCGCAATATTGAAATCTGCTAAGTACTGGTACTATCTATTCGATATCCTGAAGCGTGTCATGACAACGTAGACAGGCCGTTCCATTCCCTTAGTCAATAGCGTTCTGGTCGTTGAGCATGGCCCAGTCGATAGAAGGCCCTTGAAACTGCTTCCTAATACAGTACCATGTCCCTATGATGAGACAGCCAATTGCCCCCAAAGTCACACATACGCTAAATTACGTGTCATTAGAAACGTTCCAGGCCGAAAGGATCAAGTCACGGGAACGGAACTTACTAATTCATTGAAGCAGCCGTCACAGGTAGGATATTTGGGAAACAGATGACGATACCGATGACAGTTATCCAAACAGGAGAAAACGCATTGCAAAAGTAACCCCAGATTCCAAGATCGAATGAACGATTGGGAAGGGTCTTCACTCGGCCTTGTACGAGGCAGATGGCTTGCGGTACAACGTAGGAGATGTTTACTGCGAGGACTGCGGAGACGATGATGGAGTTGAACGCTTGGGTACTCGCAACATATAGCAATCCATAGATCGCACAGAAGGCTGCCGAGAGAAGAGTAGTTCGTACAGGGAACTGATAGTATGAGTGGATTTCAGTCCAGTAGTGTGACCTCGGAAGTCCGTTCTGATGAAAGTGTCAGTCTTCGTCCTTTGTTTGGAGATACCAGTGCTCAGTACTTACGTCTCTAGCAAAAGCCCATGTCAGGCGTCCGCATGTGATCCACTGACTTGGCATGCACGCTGAACAGTATCATCAGCCTCTCTGCATGTAAGATCTCGAGGGGCTGGACTTACTGTAAAATAGAATAGTCAGCAGTATTTGCAAGCCTAATGCTGCAGTGTTGCTTCCTGTGGCTTGATAAAACGCTTCAAGACTAGGCAGAATTGCGCCCCGCACAGCCTCAACATCTTTGATAACGAACATCATCGCTATGATGAAAGGCACTGATGTTACCAAGCCAATCATTAGAGTCCAGTTGCTAGGCAAAAACATTAGCTGCCGTTAAGTGACACGATGCCTTTGCATTGTAACACTTACATGACCCGAGGAATCTCTTTCCCGGGATGATGCATCTCCTCCGCAATATGGATTACGGCATCTAGGCTCGCAAAGGCGTACATGGCGTTGCCGATGCTCATGAACCAAGCCATCCCATTCGGCCATCCACTGGCACCGTCGAATTTGATGATCTGACTGGCAGGCTGAAATGACTTGCACATCGTCAGGATGACAATGGTGACAATGAAGAATCCGAGGATTGACAGAACTAAACAGAGCGTTGTCCACTTTCCAATATGGCGCTGAGGGATGGTGAAAATCGGCGCGACTTGGGAGACTCGAGTTAGCATTCAAGAGTTGGTGGGAAGCGCCTGCTGATGGATGGGGTGAGACGGGACTTACGTGTAGCAACTAAAAGTGCAAGGTACACGAGATAAAACTGCCAGCGTTGGGGTTCAAAGCTGGGATTCACAAATTGAACCATGCCCATGATCGACTGAACGTTATTGGACAACCCTGAACAAGTGATGACCCACCATCCAACGATGCTGAGCAACCCAACCGAGAAGGCCGCAAACTTCTTGTGTTTCTTCGGGGCCAAGATAGATGTGAAGTGGTATTGGCCTGTAACTATTTGTCAATGACCATGGCACATTTCGCTCTTTTAGCGATTCCAATGCATACCTCCCGAAGATGGAAAAGCAGAGGCTTCTTCAGCCATGCCAGCGGCTACAATCCATTGCACAAAGCAGGCCACAATCAGGCCAAATACCGTTGCTTGCGGGCCACCGTATACCATGCTCTGCCCAAAGGAACTCGCATATGACAACCACGAGTTTGTGATGCTGAAGACATCACAACGTTAGCATATTTCTTCCTCCATGCTTTAGTTTTCAGCAAACCCTGCAAGGTTTCAATAGCATATTCAACTCACCTGAAGCCTAAACCAAGGGTTCCAAGAGTATTGAATGTCCTCTTCAATGCCGGGGCATGCCCTTGTGCTCGCAGAATGGCATCATCGTCCATACCATGGAGCTCTCCAAGGATAACTGATTGCCCGTCGCTTCCGACAGCTTTTGGCTCGGCTGTTTTGCCGTCATTTGGATATTCGCCGGTCATAGTCAGTCCAATGAACGGTTTGGTGGGACGATATTTGCACAAAGATCGGTCGAGAAAAGCACTACCTGAGGCTCTGGGATGATTATCGTATGTTGATAGAGGGTTGTAAGGAATCTGAATTCCGTGGTCTGACTCCAAGAACTTTATATGGAAAGCTGCGGTGCGCTGCTCACGTCCACGTCTTATCAAGACCTTGGAAATACAGCCGGACAAAGGTACGTGCACTACCCCTCCCTCCCCGTCTTCAGCTACAGATTGAATGCCGTCTACACTTACACATTTCTGAATACACTAAGATCCAGTCAATAAATTGCCTGCATCAACGTCTCAATCATGGCTGGCACGTCGCTCAATTCGTTTGCTTGCAGTGTGACTGGGCCTCGTCAGCATGGAGAAAGATACCACTAGAACCATGTTTCCGCCCGTCCGAATCTCCTTCCACATCCAAAGAATGCGTCGTAGATCTACATCCATGGCTCATGGTTGATTCAGGTCCTTCCCCAGATTTTCAAGCCGCTTCCCCGCAAAGATCCTAGTTTGCCGAGCTTTCCTATCTTGAACGGCACCGCACGGATGCTAGCTACGATGCAACCCGCTATCTATGGTGGGGGGTCCATCACGGGGAGCTTCTGCATGCCGATAGTGGCTGATATCTTGTCTCTGCGATCAGGTTTCTTACACGTCTTTCGCCTACCCAGGATCTCTATGTTAAGCGTGAGACAGGGATTCTCGAATACACATCGTGACTGCATTGCTGAGAGAAGTTTTCGGAGCTCAGCACGATAGACCTCAAACATTATCCTTGCTACATGTACACGCAGAGACCGAAGGTATTGTTAAGCAACGACTTTGGACTGAGCCGGACAAAGGATAGCACGCAGTGAGTCCAACTAGCCTTCGTCGTCAACCAAACGTCGACATGATAGACCTTTCACACCTGTGTGCGTCTGAGCGGGGTGTGTCCCTGGTTGGTCTGATAGCATAGCGGGGTAAAAGGTTGCGGTCAAATATTTCCAGATTCGGAAATTTTCTTTTGTCCTCTTCAGGAAAAGTTGAAATAACCCCATGTATAAAGTAGTTCCTGTTCGTTATGACATATCGATGTCAAATTAAGCAGCCAATTTCAGAAGGGACGAAAGTATCCGAGGACCAGTCAGTTGCCATGGCAAGAACAACGAAGAACAGCGAGATCATTCAGCTCGCCAAGCAGCTGAAGGGCACCCCCTGGTGCGAGGAGTACGAGCGCATGATTTCTGGAATGCTGTGAGAATGCAACATGACCAAACAGAGGTCCTTGAAATGTTAACGATGATAGGTACAATCCATTGCATCCCCCCCTGCTCGCAGGACGTCACCGCGCGAGATGTCTACTTCACAAGTATAACAATCTGGATCCGAACTCGAAGCCTTATGACGAGTTGATGGCCACACAGCAAGAAATGCTCAAGGACATTTTGGGAACGGTGGGCCCGGGAACTTTTATCGAGCCACCTTTCATACCAGATTACGGATGCAACGTGGTCATTGGCGAGAATTGCTTTATCAACTTCAAGTAAGACAACTTCCTCCAAGGTCAGACCTGAACTGTTCTGATACTGGCTTAGCTGCACCATCCTTGATACCAGCCTGGTGATCATTGGTAACCGTGTTCAACTGGGTCCAAACGTGAGCATCTACAGCGCTGGGCACGAGACCAGTGTCCTTTCTCGGATTAAGTTTGTCGAGTTTGGCGATCTCGTCTACATAGAGGATGACGCGTGGATTGGTGGTGGTACAATCATCCTGCCAGGGGTCACTATTGGGAAGGGAAGCACTATTGGGGCAGGATCAATTGTGACAAAGAGCATTCCACCATACTCTGTTGCTATGGGGGCCCCCGCAAAGGTGGTCAAAAAGCTCCCAACTGTCGAAGAAGAACTGGCGGATCCGAACAATGCTTACAGAAACATGCCTGACCGGCAGTGACATTTCAGGGAAAAGGTAGTATTGGGGTTTTGGCTGAAACACGATTTGCTATCTTCCCCAAATGCCATAAAGCTCATGTCAGAAAGTGTCTCGGACATGGCGGACAGCTTCCGCTTGAACCTCGACGTGCATGCCCGGGACAACCAAAGCTGCAACCACTACCGACGTCCACGTTGGCGAATGACCCGGGAACTTTTCCCGGAAGACCTCCAGCAGTTTGGCCTCATCTTCCGCACGAATAAAATAGGCAACAATTTTGTGCGCTCCCCCCAGGCCAAGTTCGACTCCAGCGTCACGTAGAGCTGCATCGAGACAGTCGCATACGGCATTAAACTCATCCCGAATGCTTGACTTGACAAGTTCTCCTGTTGAGAGGTTGACGCCGACATGTCCGGTCGTGACAACTAGATGACCATGTAGAGGTATCGTGGCCGTGGTAGCAAGGGATGAGGAGCGAAGCATCTCGCCGACTGGACCTGGCAGCCATCTATACTCTGCCATTGTGTGGATTTGTCAAAGATGAAATGAGACGGTTCTGTTTGTTGTTTTGTTTTCTCGTAAGCCGTAGATTTCAAGATGCATCCCTGGCTGAATTACCGGACGACCGCT